GATAGACTCCGATACATTCATAGTGGAGGACCTTAGTACCCCATTAGCATCACTGGACAATTCGACGTGACTGAAACTGAGCAAAGAAACAACAGAATCACCCAAACTCTAGAACAAATGGGTTTACTTGATATCTACCAAAACTTTCATCCTACAGAGAATGCACTTTTTTTCATCAGTACATGGAACCTTCTTCAGAACTGACTATGTTACAGGCCACAAAACAAGCCTCAATGAATTTTTTAAAAATGAAATCATACCATGCATCTTCTCAGCCCATCATGGTGTGAAGCTAGAGACCAAAAGTCAAAACACCCAAGAAGACTTGCAAACACATGGAGACTGAATAATATGTTACTAAATGATTGATGGATTAGAGAAGAAATCAAAGGGAAAATTTTAAAATTGCTTGAAACAAATGAAGGCATCAACACAACAAACCAAGACTTTTGCGACACAATCAAGACAGTGTTAAGAGGAAATTTCATCTCAATCAATGCTTATGTTAAGAAACTGGAAAGGAACCAAATAAATGAGTTAACCCTACAATTCAAGGACCCAGAAAAACAACAGCAAAGCAATCCCTAGATAAGTAAGAAAAATGAAATAATCAAACTAAGGAATGAAATTAACTAAACAGAGACCAAAAGAACTATATATGAAAACAATAAATTAAACAGCTGGTTCTTTGAGAAAATCAACAAAACAGAATCCCCACTAGCCCAACTAATTAAAAAATGCAGTGAGAAGATGAGCATCTGTAGCATCAGAGATGAGAAAAAATATATAACACATAGCTCAGACACACAGAAAAACATTAGGAACTCTTAGAAGTAATTATATGCAAACAAATCAGAAGACACAGAAAAGATGAATAAATTTTTCGACACATACATCCACCAAAACTAAATCAAGAAGCAATTAACAACCTAAACAGACTTATGCATTGGACTGAATTGAATCTGAAATTAAAGCCCCTCCAACCAAGAAAAGTCCTGGACCAGATGGTTTCACTGCTGAGTTCTACAAAACCATTCAAGAGGAATTTAGTCCAATCCTTCACAAGTTTTTCCAAGCAATAAAAACGGAGGCAATCCTTCCAAACTCTTTTCTATGAAGCTAATATCACCTTAATACCAAAGTAAGACAGAGAAACAACAGAAAAAGTGAACTGTACACCAATATCCTTAATAAACAAAGATGCAAAGATCCTCAACAAAATACTACCCAACATGATCCAACACTACATCAGGCAGATCATTCACCTAGACCAGTTGGGATTCATCTCAGGCATGCAGGAAAGGTTCAACATTTGCAAATCAATAAATGTGATGCATCACATCAACAAAATTAAAAAATATGATCATCTCAATAGATGCAGAGAAAGCATTTGATAAAATCCAGTACCACTTCATGATGAAAACCCTAAGCAAGATCAGTGTAGAAGGAACATTCTACAGCACAATCAAAGCCAATGCCAGCATCATACTAAACGGAGAAAGTTTGGAAGCCTTTCCACTAAAATCTGGAACTAGACAGGGATGTAGGCTGTCACCATTATTATTCAATATAGTATTGGATGTCCGTACCAGAGCTACTAGGCAAGACAACGGAATCAAAGGAATTCAGATTGGAAATGAGGAACTGAAAGTATCTCTATTTGCAGGTGACATGATCCTCTACATAGAAGAATCAAAAAACTCAGTCAAGACACCACTGGATCTCATAAGAGACTTTGGCAGGATAGCAGGATACAAATTAATGAACACAAATCAATGGTACTAGTGTACACAAATAATTCCATGGCTGAGAAAGAAATTGTAAGTACAGTCCTCTTTAAAATAGCAGAAAGAAATCTTAAATATCTAGGTATTAAGCTAACCAAATATGTGGAAGTTCTCTATGATGAAAACTAAAAAGCATTTTAAAAGGAAATAGAAGAAATTAAAAAGTGGAGAAATTTACCATATTCCTGGATTGGCAGGATCAACATCATCAAAATGTCCATATTACCAAAAGTAATATACAGATTCAATGTAATCCCAATCAAAATCCCAACAGCGTTCTTCTCTGAAATAGAAGATAACAAAATTCATCTGGAAACACAAGAGACCACGAATAGCGAAAGCTGTCCTGAAGAATAAAAATAGAGCGGAGGGAATCACAGTTCCAGACCTCAAGACATACTACAGTACAATGGTTATAACCTCAGTCTGGTACTGGTACAGAAACAGAGGAGAATATCAACGGAATAGAATAGAAACATCAGAAGGGAACCCACACATGTATAACCAACCACTCTTTGACAAGAAAACTGAAAACAATCCAGGAAAAAAAGTCTTGGCAATTCAACAAATGCTGTTGGGATGAATGGATAGCAGCCTGCAGAATTAAGAAAAAAGACCTGCACTAGCCACATTTATACAAAATCATCTCTAAATGGTTCAAGGATCTAAATCTACACCCAGAAATCATCAAGGTATTAAAGGAAAACAGAGGAAGCTTTCTCCAAGAAATAGGAATGGAGCCAGACTTCTTAAAAAGACCCCAAAATCATAGGTAGTCAAAGACAAAATAAACAAACAGGACTACATCAAACTAAAAATCTTCTGTACAGCAAAGGAAATGATTAACAAAATGAAGAAGCAATTAACAGAATAGGAGAAAAAATTTGCACATTACAGAGGTGATGGGGACTAATACCCAGTATTTACAAAGAGCTTCAGAAACCCAGAAACAGAAAAATAATTAAATAAATAAATAAAGCAACCCTGTGAAAAATGGGCAAAGGAAATGAACTGAGATTTTTCAAAAGAAGAGATACAAATGGCTAACAGACATATGAAAAGATACTAAGGCTGTCAGGGAGATACAAATTAAAACCATGCTGAGGTACCACCTAACGCCATTCAGACTGGCCTACATTCGGAATTCAACTAACAACACCTGCTTGCAGGGGAGTGGAAAGAAATATATCCTCCTTCACTACTGGTGTAAGTACAGGCTAGTACGGTAATTATGGAAATCAGTATGGATAGTACTTAGAGAATTGCAAATGAACCTGCCATATGACCCAGCTATCCCACTCCTAGGAATATACCCAAAGGAAATGAATACTGCATGTGTGAGAGGGAGCTGTAATCCTATATTCACAGCAACACAATCTACAGTAGAAAACACATGGAAATAATCCAGATGCCCATCCAAAGAGGAGTGGTTAAATGAAGAGTGGCATCTCTATTTTATGGAGAATTACTCAGCCATTAAAAAGAAGGAAATCATATCATTTGCAACCAGATGGTCACAACTACAGACCATCATCTCCAGTGAAATAAGTCAAACCCAAAAGGACAAATACCATATGTTCTCTCTAATATAAGAAAATCATCATGAAAATTAGACTTCTATATTTTCTTTTCATCACCTATGAATTGGTTATTCAATGGCATGTTTTTCTGATTCTATGGTGCTGTATTTTTGTTTTGTTTTGTCTTTGCTTTAACTTCATATCTGCTATCAACCTTATTTGTGGCTTCTCACTAAGGGAATGTATAATGAATGGCTACTCTACTGTAAGTGGGCCACATCAGATCCTGAACCCAAAATACCACACAATTTTTGATGATGTGTCTCCTGTGAGCCAAAATAAATTTACCTTCCTAAGAAGCTACTCTCAAGTGTTATAAATAACATCACAAAAAGGTTACTAACACATGTAACAGAAGAAAAGCATGCTTTAGCAGTCAACTTGACAATAAGGCAAATGACATTTTTTCATGAAGACAAGGAATAACTGAGCAGTAGCAATGTGCATAGGGAATAGGGAAGTGGAACCAATTATATATATAATATATATATTATATATTATATAATATATATATAATGCCTGTTAGACATAAGGCAAGTAAGCATTATGCAGGAAAATTAAACACTCAAGTGACCTAAGTATTCAAAACAAAGGACAAAATGAGTAAATACTTCACAATGAAAAATGCTGGATTCACTGATCTTTCATTATTTATCCCTATAATAATATTACCTGATTAAGAAAGTAACAATAAAATAGCTAAAAGTTGTTAGGTGTTACCACTAACAAACTTACCTTTTCCTTTTATATTCTTTCTTTAAATCAAAGAGTTTTCTCTCGGCAAACCGAGCTGCCCACTTAAAAAAATAACAAAAGATGCAGACAAATATTAGATGAAAATGAGCATGAACATCCTAGAGCATACAAATATTGCTGTCAATGTATGCATCCACTGTAATGAAATGCAGATGAAAAGGAAATATTTCAGGTAAGCAGATGACACGGGCCTAAAACTGGAGATGACTTGTGCACTTGCCAATGAATGCTGCTCTCTGATGTGAGATGCAACACATTTAACTACAGGGCATGATGCCTCCACCTCCCTGTGACAGGCACTCCCTGTGGACAGCTACTGTCAACAGCTCCATCTCTGCTCTTCCTTCTAACTGCTCCAAGTTTACAGCCACTTCAATTCCTCATCATGCAGTTCCTCTGCAGCACAGACAACTAGTTCCCCGGATGACCCTTTCCTTAATTCCTACCAACACTGAGAATCACTTAAAAGAACCCTCAATTTTAGAACTAGAAAGGGCTTTAGCTAGCTCCTTTTCCAATCCCATTGTTTGACAAATGAGTAAAATGGCTCAGAGACCTTTCTGGCTCCTCTAGATAACAAGGGGCAATCCAATGTCCCAAAATGTAAATACATAAACATGAGCATATGCACCAAGTTCCTCTAACCCTCTCACCCTTTTCTAGGCTACTTTTAAAGAAGAAGAATGCTGAAAGAAGACTGTGGGAATAACCACCATTTGATAATGTATTATTTCTCCAAATGGAATGTAATACCACTACTGATTTTTTTATATATTATCTTTTTCATAAATTTAAATCCCCAGCATTATCTTCCGGAAGGAAAAGCAAAATTTATTTTAACAAACAGAGAAATTTTTAAGGCAATTTGAAACTTACCCAATTATGGTGAGCTTTTTTCTTATAATGAATAACCTGAAAAACAGAATGTTTGAAAATTAGTTTGCTTAAACAAAAAGAACATCTGTCTTTAACATAGGAAGTAACTCACAAGTTGAGAAATGCTCCAGGCACATTTTCTGTCAGTAAACAAAACTTTATGCAAAATCTCATCAACACATCATCTATTGTGTGTAAGTACACTAAAAGCAGTGAAAATTTGTAATTAATAAGCTTTTGGTTTATGTTCCCTTATCAGTAATCAGCCACAAAAGTAACTGTCAATTAACAGATAACTAGCCTGGTTGAATATGAGACCCAACCTGTGATTTAAAATCTATTTTTATTTCTGCAATGTAATTCCTTTTTCCAAAGACAGGAGACATGGTGACTTGAGATTTTTTATTACACATTCTTTGAATCACTGTAAACATGGAAATGACTGAATGCCACATGTAACACGTGGAGAAAGAAAACTAGAAAAGGAATCACTTTTCCCTTTCCATTCTACATAAAGGCACAGGATCCAATAAATTCATACACACACATACCTAAACATGCACAACACACTCAACAAACACAAACACACTTACCCTTCCTTGGTAATAAACAGTGGTTCTTTGCACTCTTTCTTCAGTATCTTTGGCTTTTTTACTATTTACAAGATATAAATTTTAAATTATCCATATGCAATCACCATAATAAAATAATATACTCTACTTTAAAAATATACATTACAACATCAAGAACAATCTATTTCCTGGAACAAATAACAAAAACTGCACATGCTGAGAAATAACAAATAGAAGTCTCATTTTTTTCTTCATCTAATGTAAATTCTACTCATTAAACTTTCCTAAAACAACAGCACATACAGTATTGTAAGTATACGATGGACAATTCATCCAGATATATATAATCTTTAAGAGACTATAAGAAATGAATTATTTCCCTCACAAAATTACATATGTTGTCATTCTATACATATGGGGCTGGTGTTGTGGCACAGAGGGCAACCTACATCACCTGATGCCCATATGGATACCTGTTAATTCCTAGCTACTTCTACACATACAATCCAGCACTGCGATAATGTGCCTGGAAAAGTAAAGGATGCTGGCTGTATCCTCATGCCCTTGTATCAACGGGGGAGTTTCAAAGGAAGCTCTTGGCTCCTGGCTTCAGACTGACCTAGCCTTGGGTGTTGTGACCATTTGGAGAGTTAATCAGCACATGGAAGGGTCATTCTCTCTCTCCCATTCTGTGTGCTTGTGTGTGTGTTTCTCTCCCCCTTCCTCCAGGTTCTACCTTTGTTCTGTCTTTTAAGTGAATAAATCAAAAAAGAAGACAATCAGCTACTTCCTTCATTAAATGAGACCCAACCCAACCTGACTCTTCCTGACATATAATGAAGTACCCCACGTATGCAAATGCAGCTGAATCTTACCCTTTGTCTTTAGGTTTTCCAGTATCTCCTTGGGCCAAGTAAGGAAAGCTCCAAGGTAAAAACTAAACTTACTCTCTTATAAACCTATACAAATAATATTAATTAGGGCTCATACATTCCTTTATAACATAATTGCTGAATCCTTTCATATCCTACACATTCTTCTCCATTGGAACTAAAGAGTAAAAACCTTGAAATAATTGTCTATTAATAAATTCCTTGATGTAATAGGTAACACTGGTCCATATTCAAACATGAGATTAAAAATCACACAGGCTGCAAGGATATTGCTTTTCCTTTTAAGATTTTGTATGAAATTTCATAACAGCAAGGACTTGGAATTTAAAACTAGCAAAATATGCTACTTATATTTGGCTACTTAAATATTTTTTCTGGCTATTCCCCAGGGCAAAAAAAGAAAAAGCATTAATACCTATATAAGTCAACTCCTCTTGTAGATTTGAAATTTTCCTCAAGAATCGAAATGGCTTTTTTCTCAAGCTGGCAGTTTTCCTCGATCATCAGGTGCCTTTAAGCAAAAGTAAAAATATATAATATATTCAAACATGTCATAAAGACTTATATTGTTTTAACTGTATCAAAACTGGAGTCTCCCATAAAAATATCCATAATTAATCACTGCAAACACAACATGAAAAACTAATATGCAAGCATTTCTGATATAGAATTAACATTACAAACTCAAATTACAAAGCAACACCTCTTAAAATAATCTGGCTATCACAACAGTCTCCAGAGTTTTGTGTATGAATTTGGCACAGAAATAAGATGTAAAGGGTAAAAAAATGAATATAACAGGTAACTTATACATGATAGACTAGGATCCGCATTAGACATTAGCAAAACCATAGACATACCGGGGGAATCAAGAGTGATCCTGGGGCCCGGCGCGGTGGCGCAAGTGGTTAAGTCCTCGCCTTGCACGCCCGGGATCCCATATGGGCGCCGGTTCTAATCCCGGCAGCCCCGCTTCCCTTCCAGCTCCCTGCCTGTGGCCTGGGAAAGCAGTCGAGGACGGCCCAAAGCTTTGGGACCCTGCACCCGCGTGAGAGACCCAGAAGAGGCTCCTGGCTTCGGATCGGCATAGTATCGACCCGTTGCGGCTCACTTGGGGAGTGAATCATCGGATGGAAGATCTTCCTCTCTGTATCTCCTCTCTGTATATCCGCCTTTCCAATAAAAAATAATAAAAATAAATCTTTAAAAAAAAAAAAAAGAGTGATCCTGACAACCTCTTAACAGGAGGTCAAATGCACAGGGCGGGGGGGAAGGGGACCCCAGAGTGGAGCAGGCAGACAGGAGGAGGCTTCTATCACAACCCTGGAGACTCCCGGAACCTCACCAAGGACTATCAGTATGGGCACCAAGGACTATATCCCAACTGCCAAGGAGACCATGGGGAATTGGACTGCACTTGTAGGCCAAGAACTCTGAGGTCATCCACTCCTGCTTGGATCTATCACATGGTATGGAAGATGATCAGATCCTTCCTCACAGGATCTAATGTCACTGGAACCATAGCTGGGAGCCCACCATCTCTTGCGATGACAATCAAGGTCACTCCAGAGGCACCTCCTCCCCCCAAAATTACATTAGATAGACAGAGAACAACAAGGAAGGCTTAGAACCAGACAGGAAATGGTCAGCTTGGACTCACATATACCTTAATAGGTAGGACACAGATAAGTTACTTCTCACTAAGGTATTGAAGATTTCTCTGCACACCCCTCCTAAAACTGTTCTGCACCTAAACTGTTGAGTTTAAACTTGTTAGAGTTATAAGCCAGTTTGGACTATCCTAGAATCCACCAAGTTCAATAAAAATTATGCTTCAACAATATAAACTGCTAAATACTAAAATGGAAATAGACAAGAGACAGCTGAATAGTATCCTATAGCTATTGTAAGGTGCATAGAAGTCGGTTGTGTATAACCTAAAATAGAAACGTCAATGAAGTAATCACAGGATATGGTTAAGAACTTGCATTTTCTAACATATTGGTCACTCAATACCATGTCAATTAATCCCATAATGTTATAAAATTTTTTGTCGATATTATGTTTTGGCTTTTAATTGGATGAAATGATATTCTGCCAGCTCTACTTTCAGACCAGAGATGGTCTCCCCAAGAAACTGTTCAATTGAGCTGGACAATAAGATCCTGGACTCGATGCATGGTATAGGCTTGCAATGAAAGAATCATGACTGGATTTGAACTGTAATACTGAAACAAGGTGGAGGAATCCTCCATGGGGGGAGAGTAAGGGGAGGGGTTGGGGGAATCCCAGAGCCTATGAAATGTAATTTTTAAAAGGTAAAAAAAAAATTACATGTACACATACTATTTACCCAGACTCCTACATAAAGCAGCATTATATTTGTGACACAGGAGTCAACCACAATAAATGGTGGTTAATGATGTGGAAATCGCGCATGCAGTTCTTCAGCCAGGCACAGCGCTGACTGCTGCAGGTATGTAAACTATCAACCAGCAGATGCAAGGTCCCTGTCACCTCTCTAATGCTGATTTTCAAATAAGTAAATGAATAAATCATTTTCAAATCAGTTTTAAGTCTTGAGTTGGCTTCTGGTTTATATCAAAAAGAAGCAAAATCATACTACACCCAAAGTAAATTTTGCTAGTAGTATAATCAGTACTGCCTATTTCTATTAGTGTGCATACTACTCGCAATATTAAGTACTTCTAGAGCCCTTAGATTTTAACATAAGCTGCTCATACACCTTGCAGATACTCATCTTAATGACTAAAGCAGCTCTGCAAGGAGGGTACCTGATATCTGATATGCCTAGTACCCAAAGGGGAAACCAAGATGAAGCTTGTGGCTCTGCTCTGCCCCAGCCCTGACTGTTTCAGCTATCCTAGGAGGAAAACAGTAGACAGATCTCTGTCCCGGGAGAAGTTCTGTGGCCTTGCAGACTTTTGCGGAATGAAACAGCAGCTAGTTCATTTTCCTTTCTCTCTCTTGATAAATTTCTTTCTCTCTCTCTCAGTATTTCTGTGTTCCCTGGTTCCTTTTAGACAGTAAAAAAAAGTTAAGAAAATACTTTATCAGTGAAAAAATCCTGAAGTGTTAAATACCGTATCATTTCTTATAAGGATAACACAAGGCAACATTCCTGCTAGATTATAAAAAAATACTTTCATCAGTCAACCAATACTTACTATGTTCTAGATTGGCTTTAGTTTTGATTCATTTAATATAGTATTACTGACTTATTAACATTGGTCTCAGAGTCAATAGCACTGTAATTAATGCCAAAACAAAATTTATCTGTCACATCTACATCCTCTTAAAAAAAAAGCAAAACATAGTATCATTCTTATGCTTAGGAACAGTGGAAGACATTTCAGTACTATGCTTGGGGATCACAGTAAGTAACTAATGAGTGTCTAGGTAGCTGGGTCCCTGTACCCAACTGGCAGCTCTGAAAGAAGCTCTTGGCTTCTGGCTTCAGTCTCACACATACTCAGGCTTGCATAGCTTTAGACACTGAGAAAACAGAACACCATCCTCTCATGAAGTTTAACTTAAATGTGAAAACACTTTTAGAAAACAATCACAGGACAATAAGGACAACAAACAAAAATAATAAGGGTTATGAAAAAACACAAAGGATAGAATAGGGAAAGGAGTTTCAGATAATGTTTTAATTAGGTAGCCAGGGAATGATTCTTTGAAGACGACAATGAAAATGGGAAGACCTCATGAAGCTATTGGAATGACTCAGATATAATTGGTAATGGATTACACCAGAATAGTAGTAGGCAGTTTGGAGAAAGACAGTCTGTGAATCAGCCAAATGGAAAAAAAATTATTTGCACAATACACAAAGGATAATGGAATAACATCAAGATTTACAGAGAATGTCAGATAGTCAAACAACAGCCAAACAAACAACTCCATATGGAAATGGATGAAGGACATGAGCAGGCATTTGTCAAAAGGATAAATCCAAATGGCTGGCAAACATATGAAAAAGCGCTCAGGCTCCATAGCCATTAGAGAAATGCAAACACAAACCATACTGAGGTCCCACCTCACTCCAGTGAGAAAGAACTACACACAGAAATCCACTAATACCACCTCTTATAAGAATGAGGGGGAAAGGGCACACCTGCTCCATATTGGTGGGGAGCGTACCTTGTCCAGCCACTATGGAGATCAGTATGGAGAGTGCTTTGGCAAGTGGAAACTGATCTGCCATATGACTGAGGTATCCCACTTCTGGGAATATATCCACGTGAACTGAAATCTGAATATGAGAAAGGGACCTGCATACCTATATTTACAGCAGCATAATCCATGCTAGCAAAGAAATGGAAACAATCCAGATATCTTTGAAAGTGCAACTGGTTGTACAAAACAAAAACAATGTGGTACATCTACTTCTTGGAATATCACACAGCAACTGTAACAATGAACTTGAGCTATTTGTACCAATCTGCCATTTGTAAATACATACTATTATGATCACTGAATTGGGCAAGTCCCACAAAAAGCTAAATAATATGTTTTCTCTGATGAGAAACACTCATACAAAATACAAAAAGAATAGAAATATGAGTAAAAAGTATATACATACATTCTCATAGCGGAATTTTACAATGGAGGATAGCACACCAGAAATATAAGATATGCTTTGGTTTGCATCTCTACTCCCAATTGAAAGGACTCCAAGTAAGGCTGTCAAGTACACCTTGACAGATTCTACATCATTAGTTATACCTACAACCCCATGACACACTTCAATAACAAATGATGCACTCATGACTGTTGCTAAAGAGTAATACTATTGTAATAATATAGGAGAAAATGGTATGGGGGAGAATGAGGAGAGAGGAAGGAGAGCAGCTCTGGGAATCTCTAAATAAACACATAAAAAGAGGGCAGAGACCATAAAATTGTCAGAATTTATTTATAAAATGAGTAAAAATGTTATTATTTGTCTCCCTGAACTCAATCAATCTTATTTTCAAAGCAGAAAGGTTAATATTTAATGATAGCTCATTGATAGTGGATGCAGAATCAAATTATATCAGCTAGAAGCTAGCTGCACCTAAAGAGAAGTTGTAGGTCAGTGAAGGGTTGCCAAGAGAAGGCAGACCTCTAGAGAGGGCAGGTTTTAGAATCAGAGTATGTTTACAGTCTCTCTCTGATTCCTGGCCCACTCCATGATAAATGGTCTCTATACTGTTCTCCACCCTCACCAAGCCAGAACCCATGAGGCCACTCAATTTTGGATAGCGTACCTCCAGCCCATCAGGCAAAATAAATCTTCCTTAATAAGTAACTCTCTAGTATTTTAAATGTCATACAGAGCTTATTAATATGATAGAAAAACTGCAGTCAAGTATAGTTTAAGGAGTCACTCTACCAACCAGACAAATGAATCTTTAACTAAGACATGGAATACCTGAGCAGGAGCAATTAGCACAAAGTAGAGGTATCAGCTTTATACATATTAGAGATGAATGCACACAAATTAAATGGAACTGTATCCCCTGACCCAGTCAGATAGCATCAATTGTGATCTAATTTAAGGTGATCATACACTGAGTAATCACATGATAATGATTACACAAGCCCTTGTGTGATAGCTTAGAATGTCAAGTGCTACTTTCTTGAGGAAAATGTTTTAAGATCAAACAATATTTTATAAATGAATCATGAATTGAGAATGTCCAGTAATCACAGTGACTGAACATGAAATATATGCTTAGGCTTTGAATTCTAGCTTTCTTGCCATCCAGTGCAGCTTATCATATAATCTTTGTCACTGGTGACATTTTCATTTTCATTATACATTTCAGTCATTATTGTACGTTTTTCCTAAAGCTTCTGAATTTTTTGCCCTTTTTGACTGCAAAGATACTTGTTCGGTCTGAAGATTTAAACATGTTTCTCAATTAGTAATCCTAGATTAGCTGACAACCTTAGTCCATATTAAATACTGAAAAACATAAATGCATACATAAAAATCTGTGAAGTTTCTTTCAAGTTATGTCAGTGACCTAAGAATTTAAAACAAAGGACAAAATGAGTAAATACTTCACAATGAAAAATGCTGGATTCGCTGATCTTTCATTATTTATCCCTATAGTAATATTACCTGATTAAGAAAGTAACAATAAAATAGCTAAAAGTTGTTAGGTGTTACCACTAACAAACTTACCTTTTCCTTTTATATTCTTTCTTTAAATCAAAGAGTTTTCTCTCGGCAAATCGAGCTGCCCACTTAAAAATAACAAAAGATGCAGACAAATGTTAGATGAAAATGAGCATGAACATCCTAGAGCATACAAATATCACTGTCAATGTATGCACCCACTGTAATGAAATGCACATAAAACATTGTGAGTTGAAGGATCTTTTGGAAAAGGAAATATTTCAGGTAAGCAGATGACATGGGCCTAAAACTGGAGATGACTTGTGCACTTGCCAATGAATGCTGCTCTCTGATGTGAGATGGAGGACCATTTGATTAGTCAAGTAAGAGGCTAAGGGCAATGTGGGAGGATGCAAGCCTCAGGCAATGGCAACAGAGACTCAGGATCATTGCACATGGCAGCTTTGCATATCTGCCTCAAGGTTATCATCATTACAGAAAATTCACTATGATTCTGTGAAACCATAAAGGTCTAAAATAGTTTTGCAGCATGTGGCTAAATGCTATTTTTAAAACTAGATGAAATTATCAATGCATGTTGTACTTCCAGAAAGTTAATGGTGCTGCATAAACCATATCCCATTTTATTTAGCAAGAGGAAAGATAAAATCAAATGTTACAGAGAACAAAGCTTGCACAACCTAATGAATATCAACAGCATGCAACAATCACAACTGTTCATGTGGAAAGGTTAACCTCATTCTGAGAGATCTCCAGATGATTTGCAACCATTTTGTGAAAGTTTGGACTAGAAAAACCATATGATTCACTAGCCTTACCACATAAGTATAGGTAAAGTCACTTAATTTATAATTCATTACAAATAAGAAGATGTTAGTCCGCAATTTTCAAAAATAAAAGTAAATACTCTGATATTTATCAAAAACTGAACTGCATGGTAGAAATAGCCTGAGCAAAGAATAAACCACATAAATATTTACAAAATGAATTACTTATTTGTAAACCTTGCCATCATAGAAAAATACATGTATGTAAATATTATTCCTACATTAAGTGAACAAATTTTTAATAAGAGATTATGCCAAAGACAATTACTAAAATAAACTACTGAACTATTGCTATGTGGAATCAAAATTATTTGAAATTACAAGGGAAAGAATGAAAAGCAAACGGGGTATCGCTTCTCGGCCTTTTGGCTAAGATCAAGTGTAAAAGCAAACGGGATAATTAAATATGACTTTTTAAAATAAATTATGAAATATTTGTTTTAAAAAATACCTGTAACACATTAAGAAATAAGGCTACAAAGTTGGGCTCTTTGTCATGGTCCATGCCCATAATGATGGACATATGGCTGTTTATGTATTATGCATTATAGTGATAATACAGGGAACTCAGTAGGGGAAGGGAACTTGGGGAAATGCAAGGGAAATCCCAGGACCTATGGAGTTGTATCATAAAATGATAATAACAATAATAATAATGGTTTTACAAAGGCAAAAATATACCTGTAACACATTAAGAAATAAGGCTACAAAGATAAGATATAATATACTCCACTTTTTGTGAAATGCTCATATGAGCTTTTAGTAATCTTTATTGCACCACAGGATTAGAGACAACATCCCATATCAGAGTGTTTGGTTCAAGTCACAGTTACTCTAAGTATCATACAGAGCTTCCTGCCAACGTGATCTAGAGGCAAGGAATGATGGCTCATTGCAACCACATAGGAGATTGCATGGGGAGTTCCTAGATCCTGGATACAATCAGATCTAGACACATTTTGTGGCCATTTTGGACAGTTAACCAACGATGGAAGAATGTTCACTGTCTCTCAATGCATCCCCCTCTATCATTCAAATAAGTAAACAAATCTTGGAAATATTTTCAAAATGTGTATAAATGTATGCTTTGCAAATCATCTGAACTTGGGTTGCCATATTCATTTATGTGAGGAGGCAGACTGATGCAATAAACTCCTTATACTCTGCTTCACTTCCCAAATCCAACATGAGCTGTAACTGGGCCAGGGCAAAGATGGAAGTAAGGAAATTGAAGGAGCTGCAGTTAGAGCAGTTCAACCAAAATACCCTGTGTGTGATGGAGGCATCCTAACTGTCATCCAAAATGCTAGGTCAAATAACTGCCCTGGTCTGAACTTTCAGCAAGTATATGCTATTTCTATTGGATGTGACAAATACTGCTTCATTGAGATCTAGATGGCACACTTTCTATGTATTTTAACATAAAGTCACACATACTAAATAATAAATTCAATGCAAAGTGATAGAGAATGTACAAGACTTAGACTCTGAAAGATCAGGATTGCAATCTCTATTTTTCACTTCCTAGTCATGTGACCTTGGACTGTTGTCTCATCTATAAAATCTGTAATAATAAAATCTACTTCACAGTAATGAAGTGGACTTAATGGATGTTATTTCACAATATTTTCAAGTACAGTGCCTAGAACATCAAAAGGCGTAAAAGTAGCCTCCTCCACCTCTCTGTGTTTCAGGGACTCCCCAAAAGACACCTCATAACCTCACGCAGTTTCTCTGCAGCACAGACCAGTGTTCACAATCACCCACTTCTTAATACGTAGTAAGTAACTCAATAAATATTTAAAGAACTCTGCATTTTAGAACTAGAAGGGGCTTAGTTAGCGCTTTATCCACCCCATTGTTTACAAATGATTAAAATGACTCAGAGAACTTTGTTTCTTCATAAATAACAGGTGCAATCCAATGCCCCAAAAATGTGAATCCATGACCATGGTATTAGTATAGGTACATCACATCCTTCTGACCCTTGCGGACAGTATAGTTTCCTTTCAAAGTAGCAATGCGCTAAAACCAGAATGCATGGATTGGTCAATGTGTTAATTCTCACAGGAAAGGTAACTCTACTTTTGGTGTAATTAAAATAAAGTGATCCTTTTACATAGTAATTTATTTTCTCCAATTTAGTTGCTCAGTATTATCTTCTAGAAGTAAAATCATAACTTGATTTATAAAAGGTTAAAAGCTTTAAGGGAATTTGAGACTTACCCAATTGTCATTTGCATTTTTCTTCAAAGAAATAATCTGAAAAACAGAATATTTTAAATGCATACTTTTCTTATATAAAAACATACCTATCATTTGCTTAGGAAAAAAGTCAAAAAGTCAAAACTATTCCAAACATCACTAACATCAGTAACAACAATATCAGTACAAATTTTCATGTACACATCACGCATTATATATATGTGAAGACAATTAAAACATAATTAATACACTTCCACTTTAAGTTTTGTCAACAATTTTCATTTGTGCAATCTAACGTACTTTTACAACAAAGCAGGAGACATGATACCTGAGAATTCTGTGTCAAACTCTTTGAAATCCTGAAACTGTTGAAATGTCTTAGTCACATGTGACATTCTAAACAAAAGTGTGCAACTGATGGAGAAATTCATTTTCTCTTTCAATTCAATTTCAACATTCAGGTGTTAAGTCATACATATATGCATGTGTGTGCACACATGTACACACATACCTGAACGTGGTAATAATGAATGGTACATGCATGCACGTGCGCACGCACACACATACCTGTACTTGCTAATAAAGAATGGTACTTGCATGCACCTGTGCATGCACACACACACACATACTCCTGCACCTGAAAATGGTGGTACATGCATACACGTATGCACACACACATATGTGTACCTGGTAATAACGAATGGTACAGAGACATACACACATACCTGTATCTGGTAATAATGAATGGCACACATATGCACATGTACACACACATATATCTGTACCTGGTAATAATGAATGGTACACACTTGCACATGCACACACACATACCTTTACCTGACAATAAAGAATGGTACACACATACATGTACGCACATACATAGAGACACACACACCTGTACCTGGTAATAATGAATGGTATACACATGTGCATGCATACACACACACCTGAATTTGGAAGTAATCAATTGTTCTTTCCAATTCTTGTTCAAGGACTTTGATTCTCCATCTATGAAGAAAAATTATTTTGACATTAATATATAAGCACAATACACAGGGCACTGATACATCGTTATTTACATCAAGAATTTTCTATTCTTGGGGAAAAAAACCTCCCATAACTGTATATATTAAGAAATAAACATGAGAAATTATCACGTTCTTTAAAAAAACATGATCTGATGTTAATATTCTGTTGTTTAGGCACTGTTGAAACAAAGGTTATCCCAAGATTTAGACTGTGTGTAAATCTGCTTTAAGTATGATCATGGGAGGCTTATTCAGACATCTGAAATCTTAATGTGATCATAGGAAATCAATGTCCTCTATTTGACAACTGTTATTCATTACCTTTGCAAGATTAAAATGATGGGGACAGCACTGTGACAAGGTGGTCAAAGGCTGCTGTTGCATCACCCACAGTTCACATGGGCACTCATTTAACTTCCAGTTGCCCCACATTATCAAGCTCACTGCTAATGTTCCTGGGAAAGCAGAGAAAGATGGCCTACGTGTCTGGGCCGATGTAGGAGATGCAAAGGAAGCTACTGGCTCCTTGTTTCAGACTGTCCCACCCATAGCTGTGGTCACTGAGAATGAGTCAGCAGATAAACGATTCATTTTTTTCTTTTTACAATTGTTTCTTGCTCCATGTATCTCTTTTTCTGTTCGCTGCCTTTCAAATAGATGAATCAATTTAAAAAGACTAACAAGCTAAATCTTTCAGATAAAATCCAACTTTGCTTTTTGTGTGATGCACAACTATTCACATACAGCTGAACCCTGCCTTTTGTCTATAGCTTTTACATTATTTCCTTGGGTCAACTGAAGAAGGACCCAAAGTTAAAGCTGGACTTGAAATCTTGTAAGCAAAGCTGGCTCAGTGGCATAATGGGATAAGTCTCCGCCTGAGGCACCATAATCTCATATAGGCACCTCATTCAGATTACAGGAGCTTTACTTCTGGTCATGTGGCCAAGCCAATCTAACTTTTATCTGTCATTCTGTACCTCTAACTTTCAAATAAAATAAATAAATGAAAAGAGACTTTTAAACAGCCTAGTGGGATGGCTAAATCTTCACCTTGCAAATCATAGGGATCCCATATGGGCACCAGTTCCTATCTCAACTGCTCCACTTCCCATCCAACTCCCTACTTGTGGCCTGGGAAAGGAGGGTGGCACAAATCCTTGGGACTCTTCAACCATGTGGAAGACCCAGAAAGCTCTTAGCTTTGGATCAGCTCAGCTCTCGCTATTGCAGCCACTTGAGTGAACCAGCCGATGAAAGATCTTTTCTCTTTGTATCTCCTCTCTGTAAATCTGCCTTTCCAAGAAAATTGAACAATTTTTTTTAAAAAAAATCTCATATACCTATCCAAATAATGTTAACGGATTGTGCATTTTCTCTGATTTTTTCTGGTAGTGAGCTTTTAGCTACTCTCCAACCCACAAAGGAAAAGCATTTAATAATACCGATAGATGTTGACTGTTTCTGTTTCGCAGTTAAGATTATCATCCACGTTGAAAACATGATCTTCTTTCTTTAGTTGGCAATTTTCCTCTGCCATCAATTTCCTTAAGCAAAATATTACATATTTCCCTTAATATACATCATAAAACAATGCATTTTATTGCTTAACTATATCAAAATTGGTGATTCTGAAAAGTATTTCCATACTTATCATTACAAACACGACATAAAACTGCTATATAAACATTCCTGGTATAGTATTTAACATTATAAACTCAAATTTTAATGCAAACCATCTAAAATGATACTGCTGTCACAACAGATGCCAAATGTACTTATACTATTTACCCAGACTCCTATATAAAGTAGCATTATATTTGTGACACAGGAGTAAGCCACAATAAACCGTGTTCCAGTCACTTTAGATTGCTGGTTAATGATGTGGGAATCCCACATGCAGATCCTCAGCCAGGCACAGCGCTGGCTGCTGCAGGTATGTGAAGTATCAACCAGCAGATGCAAGATTCCTCTCCTCCCTCTCTCTAATGCTGATTTTCAAATAAGTAAATAAATCACTTTAAATCAGTTTTAAGTCTTGAGACCGCCTCTGGGTCCGATCAGAAAGAAACAAAATCATACTGTACCCAAAGTAAACTATGTTAGTAGTATAATCAGTACTATTTTTATTAGTGGGCATACTTCTTGCAATGATAAGTGGCTTTTGGAGCCCTGAGATTGTACCAGAATCTATCCTTGGCCCTTACAAGTAATGATCTTGCTTAAAGACTGAAACAGCACTACAAAAGTACTACAATCCATTAAACAAAAAGTATGTATGAATCCAAGAAACTAAGTCAGGTCTTGCATCATGATAAATGCTGATAAATTCTTATTTTTCTTTATATACATTTTATTTCTTATTTTGTTAACACAGTCAACTAGGGTGGGAAGAGTCCTGGATTAGAAGAAATTAGATGAGACCATCGTTTCAAAGTTTTTCTACTTTTTGTGTCTTGGAAAACAGGGAGTGGGAGGGGAGCGACACCCAGACTCTCAACTGCCCCAGTACATGGGGATGGGGAATGGCCACCCAATGTCATCCCAGGGTCCCCAGTGTGGCACAGGCTCCGAGGCTTCTGCTCCCTATTTATTAGGGAAATGCCAATAAAAACCACATTACCATTCCAGCAAATACCGGTGAGAATGGTCTACATTTGGAAATCTATTAACAACAAGTGCTGGCATGGATGTGGGAAGAATGGTACCCTGTTTCACCATTGGTGGGAATGCAACCTTTATAAGTCAGTATGGAGAGTATTAGGACAATTGAAAGTGAATCTACCATATTGTCCAGCTAGTCCAATACTGAAAAAAAAATCCAAATAATGTGAAATCTGCATATGAAAAAGTGACCTGCAACCCTATATTTATAGCAGCATGAAGTGAAGCCATAAAAACAATCCAGATGCCTTTCGAAAGATAAAGAAACTGTGGCAGATCTACTACATGGAATAATGCTAAGACACCGAAATGAATCAAATTCTACCATTTGCTACAAAATGGTCCCAGCTAGAGACCATTATTCTATGTTGCATGAAAGTTTCCTTATATCAGAGAGAACACATAGTCCGTTTGGTACTGGTTTTGTTCAGTGTGCATAATGGCCTATGGTTTGGGACCATTTTGTTGCAGATGGCAGAATTCCAGCCTTTGCAATGGGTGTACAGTATTCCACCCTAAAAAAATGAATGAGCAAATCTAATCATAAATCAGGAACATTCAGTAATCACAGAAATTTGAACATGCAATATATGACTCTACCTTCAAAGGCTATTTTACTTGTCATGCAATGGAGTTGGCAATACGATTTTTATTACCTGCAAGGCATCATGTCATTTCCTTGATATACTTCAGTCATTACCGGGACTTCCTGCGGATGCGTCCCAATTTTACTTCCAAATTGTGTCCTTTCTGACTTCAAAGGTATTTGCTCAGTCTGATGATTTTCAATACGTTCTAAAGGAAATTTTAGGTCACAACAGAAGGAATATTTTAAGTTACACACTAACATCTGAGGACAAAAGTTACCAAATTAATAAGTTAATAACAAAATTAACAAGATTAAAATGGCTCCAACAATAGAACATCTAACACTTTTCAATAGTTTAAAGATCTAGGTCTACTATTTTAAATATTGTTTCATATTTTCGTATATAATTCTCGTATATAATTCGTATATAATTCCATTCAATCTAGCATCTATTATTCAACCTAGAAGCTAAAATCCATTAAGAAAAACAGGCTTTTAAAAGTATTTTATTTCAATGTTCCCTTAAACCATTTCCATAACAATGGGTAATATCCATTTTATCTAGTAAAGAATTTGCCTCTCAGTAGTATTATAGTTCTATTCAGCACCTACTTTTAGGCTTAAACATAATATGGGTTATAAATCATACAAGAAATTTAGACCTTGTGGCTAATAAATACTCAGATGTCCTCCAGACTTAAACCAAACTATGCCTGAGAAAAAAGTATAAATTTTAACCTACCTTCAACTGCTAACTCACCTATAGTAATCTATAAAAATGAAAACTAACAATTGTAAATAATCTGAATGCTTCAAAATTAGTGTATTTGATGATAGAATGAAGGAAAGATATATTTTCCCAAATGTGGCATGAATCACTACCACAAACTAAATCACCACCACAAACTTAATGAAAACTAAAAAATACAAAATGATATTAATAAGTCAAAAATTTTAGTACTTACATGTAATGGGTATATAACTATTCTAAAATATTCACTACTTATTTAAATGGAAATGCAAGGAATTTTTAAGTAAATAGATTAAAAATAAATGATTGAATACACACAAAACTATGTGTATCTGTACTTTTTATAAACTTTTGCAACCCATTAGCTACTTATGTCACTGCTAAAAGCAATTATTTATTAAACTGATATTTAAGTATTATTTCTTTTTTAAGATTTGTTTTTACTGCAAAGTAAGATATACAGAGAGGAAGAGAGACAGAGAGGAAGATCTTCTGTCCAATGATTCACTCCCCAAGTGACCGCAACAGCCAGAGCTGAGCCAATCTGAAGCCAGGAACCAGAAACATCCTCCAGGTCTCCTACATGAATGCAGGAAGACAAGGCTTTGGGCCGTCCTTGACTGTTTTCCCAGGCCACAAGCTGGAAGCTAGATGGGAAGTGGAGCTGCCAGGATTAGAACTGGCGTCCATATAGGATGCAGGTGCGTTCAAGGCAAGGACTTCAACTGCTAGGCTACAGCACCAGGGCTGAGTATTATTTCTAAAACAGTGTTTCATTATTACAAATACGGCTAATTTATTGTAGAATTATGATAATAGAGCCATTAGATTATAAACTGTCCATATTTCTCTATTCAAAAATGATCATTATTGACATTCAAATATTTCCTTCTATACTTTACTGATGTAAATAAAAATGCTGTGATTTAAAATTTTTAAATGAGATGTTTTTTAAACCCAACTTAAAACTTCAAACTAACTATAAAAGAAATGTTATAAATATTGCTTTATTTATAGTTATTTTTGTGCCACAATGCCAGCCCCTAGATGTCACTTAAAGAAAAATAACAAAGTTATCAGAATTGGTTTGAGAACACAGTGAATGGCTTCAGCCAACCCAATTTTTGGCAGGTCCAGACTGCAATGGCTAAGGGTAAAAATTATTGTGATGATCCAAAGTAGTGTAACTTAATAAAAATCTTGAGCTATGAATTAGAGCTTTATGTAGCACTCATAATTTTGAACGTGTCTCCTATCCATTTGTTTAGCTCACAATAGAGAGAAAAACAAGCACTGAAATGATTACGGTATGATTTTTTTAAACTGCTGTAAGGAAGACATAAAACAGCTGTGAAGAGAACAGTAGGGGAGGAAACTACAAGTCTATCTAAGGAGTTGAAGGGATTAACTGAGGGTGTTCCACTGAAGGTAAATGTAAAGGGAGATAATGACACTGTGTTACAGACATGCCAAAGTACAGTGTATCAAAAACAAGGACTGGAGGCGAAACAACCAAAAGAAGAGGCAGCCATAATTTTATCAAAAGATGAATCCTGACTTAATACCTAAGTTAGTACCGTTTTCTGAGTCACTCTTCATGTCTTGTTCCACACTGTCATCATCGGTTATCTCTTGTCCAAGGATGGCAGAGCAATTTTCCATCTTCAGGAAGTGTTCAGTGATAAAAAAAAAAAAAGACAGAGGGTAATGATTTACACTAGTGCATTTATTATTTTTTTCCTCTTAAGATTGATTTACTTCTTTATTTGGAAGTCAACAAAGAGGAGAAGACAGAGACAAACACTCTTCCATTCATGAGTTTGCTACCCAAATTACCACAACATTCTGAAGCCAGGAGCCAGGACCTCCATCTGGGTCTCCCACATGTGTGGCAGAAGTTCAAGTAATTGGGCCATCTTTCTGTTGCCTTTCCAAGTACATTACCAAGGAGCTATGAGATGCTAATGCATGTGGTAGCTTCACCTACAGTACCACAATACCAGCCGAAATGTGTATCTTGTGGATATACAATTGCAGTTTTTAAATAAGTCTACCTAGAGTAGGTTTTTGGCACAGCAGTTAAGATGCCCATTGAAATGCCCATATTCTCATCTGAATTCCTAGGTTCCCATCCTGATTCCATCTCCTGATTGCAACTTCTTCTTAGTTCTCCTCCATGACCATATTCACCCCTAAATCCCTCACCGACAGGTGGTTCAAGTAGATGCATCCCTGCCGCCTTGATTGGACATTCAGATGGAGTTCCTGGCTGCTAGCTACAACAAGGTCCAGGGCAAGGCTGTTGTGGCTATTAAGCTCCATACGATAAAACCAAAACTAGTGATTCTTAATGAAACATCTTATAATAGTTCATTCTTGCTAAATCCACATTTGAAAATGGCAAAATGTTTTATGAGATGATTATCTGCTACAAATAATAGTGATTATCAATGTAAAAGATATATTTTATATAATGACCAAACTGTGATATAAATATTACAAATTTTAATATATTAAAAAGAAAACATAAGTGAGGAGTTCAACTGAGATAAAATACATTCTTTCTTAAGAAGTATTCAAATTAGAACATGAGAAGTTTCCCAGCATTGGGTAGTTTTTTCTTTGAATGCAGAAAAATTTTCTAGCACTGTAACAAAAAAATCACATGACTGTATCATATATTTCTCCCGAAAGCCCCACTTAAATCTATTCTGCTCTGCAATTTCCATCCTTCAGTTGCTTCACACTTTTAAGAATTTGAGGCACCAAACAAAAAGGTCTACAGCTTTGCACACAGTGCTAGGATAGTATCTCATTGTTGTTCTGTTTAACATGTATTTCAAGGTCTTTCAATCTTTGAGCTTAGAGAAAAAGTTAAACAATACATTTCTCACATGGCATCCACAAAAGGAAGGGTTCAGGGACCGGCCATCTAACTCACAAATGCAAAAATCCACAGATGCTCAAGTCTCTCATGCACAATAGTGCAGCATTCACATACAGTCCATAAATACCTATTTTAACTCAGTTCTATTCGGCTAATGATACTTAGCAGCTCTGTTATGGAAACAGTGACAGTACTATATAATTAGAGAATAAGGACAAGAAAAAGAATCTGTCAAACACAATACATTTTTTTCAAATAAATCTGATACACAATTAGTACACAGCTGTGGAATTTGTGGGTGCAGAGGGCAAGCTCTATGATACTAGGAATATTGTCAAGATTCCAGCCTTGCAATCTAATCCATAATTTACCATAGCAATGATTTGTTTCATTTTATTTTGTTGGAAAACAAAGTTTTTAAGTTTCCACGTTAAGATACAATTCTGTGCAACATTAGTAGACCCATTTACCTCAGTGTGATTTTCACTGTCATTGATAGGTTGGTCTGCCAGCATTTCAGTGTTTATAAATGTCATTTTCTGTTTAAGTTCATTCCCCTCTTGTTTCGATATTTTAGCTTCTCCAATAAGCTGAAATCGCAACAAAAAATGCAATTCATCATACATGTTTGTAAACAGATGCATTTACAAGGCTGGTATGTCAATAACAGACATCAAAAGGACAGGAAAGAAGATGACTCCTACTGCAAAGAATTTTCAAATTGGGATAGTGTAAAATAATAGGCTTAAGTATTCTTTAACTGATTTATATACATACATAAAATAAAAAGTTTTCTGAGGCCAAAACATAGGTACTTTATAAAGTTCATATAAAATGATTAGGGATAAGTTTGTCACTAAAAATTCTTTAAAATCTATGCAAATTTTTAATAGTATGATTTTTTCTATAAAATGGTTGGAAATACTCATCTCTCTCCATTTCCCTCTATCCCTCTGCCATTCTGTTACTTTGCTTGTCCTAGAAAGAAAACTGTTTATTTACAAGTAACAAAATTAGGCTGAAAAAAGAGACTATGTAGATAAGTCAAAAAAAGGTATAAATTCATGAAAGAAATTGCCCATATGTATATGAAAGAAACAACTACAAATACTTCATTACTTTGCTATCAAACAATAAACATTAAATTTCTCTGTCAAACTGGCTCTTCATTGGAACATATACTATACAATCACACCCCCAGAAAACCTTTTCTATAAAAGTACAAAAGAATCAGATGATGGCTGACAGGCAAAAGAAAATGAATACTGGGGCCCGTGCTGTGGCACAGCCAGTCAGGCCTCCACCTAAAAGCCTACTAAGTACTGGTGGCTCCACTTCTGATCCAGCTCCCTGCTTACATCCTGGGAAAGAAGTCTGGGATGGCTTATATTCTTGGGACCTTGAACCCATATGGAGACCCAGAAGAAGCTCCAGCTATTGCAGCCATTTGGGAAGACAACCAGACGGGAAGATCTCTCTATCACTACATGTCTCTCTTGTAAATATGCCTTTCAACTAAAAGTAGGTCCTAAAAAACTGAAATTAAATGGCCCAGTATGATTGCCTAAAGTCCTTGCTTTGCATGTGCCTGGATCTCATATGGGCATGGGTTCTAATCCTGGCAGCCTTGCTTCCATCCAGCTCTCTGCTTGTAGCCTGGGACCCTGCACCTGTGTGGCAGACCTAGAAGAGGCTCCTGGCTCCTGGCTTTGGATCAGCTCAGCTCCAGCCACTGTGGCCACTTGGGGAATGAATCAATGGACAGAGGATCTTTCTGTAACTCTTCCTAAGTATCTGACTTTGCAATAAAAATACTAAAAAATCAAAACTAAGGAAAAACCATTGAATTTAGTCACTAGATGCTATCTAACACACTGCTAAAAAATGTAGTAAACATGCAGTCATAAAAGGTTACTGAATGATCATTATTGCAATATTTTGTTTCAGGAACATTGATAATTGAAACCTCATAAAAGTAGTTGTAACAAGTAATGTCATCATATTTTTTTATATAAAAAATATTTATATTTTATATTTTTTTATATAAAAGTCTACTTAATACTGGATTGCCCATCACTTGCTCTTGACATTAGGATGACAAAAGATTGCTGCTTTTTTGTTATTTTAGAGACACAAACCCTACACCTCTGAAATAGGTAAAATAGGAAATGCATCAAAGATGACAGTAAAAACAAAAAGTGGAAAGTGACAGAAAATAGTAATAAACTCAGCAGACCTCAGAAGGCTAAGACATAAAAACAGGAAGGTCTAAAGATAGATTAATTTGATAACAACCCCAAAAAGGATATAGTCTGAAGACAAAAAAAAAAAGCCAGCAAGAGCATCAGAGTGAAAATAGGAATAAGAAGAACGAGAACAAGAAGAATGAATGAAGACTGAATGAAGAAGAATGAAGAGGAATGAAGAAAAGAAATGAATGAAGAGGAAAGAATGAAGAGGTATGAATGAAGAGAATGAAGAAGAATGAATGAAGAGGCATGAATGAAGAAGAATGAATGAAGAGGCATGAATGAAGAGGCATGAATGAAGGGAATGAAGAAGAATGAAGAGAATGAATGAAGAGGCATGAATGAAGAATGAACAAAGAATGAATGAAGAGAATGAATGAAGAATGAATGAAAAGGCATGAATTAGGAGGAATGAACAAAGAATGTGTGAGGATGAATGAATGAAGAATGAATGAATGAAGAGAATGAATGAAGAATGAATAAAGAATGAGTGAAAAAGAATGAAGATGAGAATGAAGAAAGAATGAAATGAAGACGAATAAGAATGAATGAAGAGGAATGAATGAAGAGGCATGAATGAAGAATGAAAGAATAAAGAAATAGAATGAAGAATAAAGAGCAATGAATGAAGGATGAGTAAAGACGAATGAATGAAGAGGCATGAATGAAGAGGCATGAATGAAGAAGAATGAATGAAGAAGAATGAATCAAGAGGCATGAATGAAGAGGCATGAATGAAGAAGAATGAATGAAGAGGCATGAATGAAGAGGCATGAATGAAGGGAATGAAGAAGAATGAAGAGAATGAATGAAGAGGCATGAATGAAGAATGAAAGAATAAAGAAATAGAATGAAGAATAAAGAGCAATGAATGAAGGATGAGTAAAGATGAATGAATGAAGAGGCATGAATGAAGAGGCATGAATGAAGAAGAATGAATGAAGAGGCATGAATGAAGAGGCATGAATGAAGAAGAATGAATGAAGAGGCATGAATGAAGAATGAATGAAAAGTCATGAATTAGGAGGAATGAACAAAGAATGTGTGAGGATGAATGAATGAAGAATGAATGAATGAAGAGAATGAATGAAGAATGAATAAAGAATGAGTGAAAAAGAATGAAGATGAGAATGAAGAAAGAATGAAATGAAGACGAATAAGAATGAATGAAGAGGCATGAATGAAGAATGAATGAAGAGGCATGAATGAAGAATGAAAGAATAAAGAAATAGAATGAAGACTAAAGAGCAATGAATGAAGGATGAATGAAGACGAATGAATGGAGAGGAATGAATGAAGAGGCACGAATGAGGAAGAATGAGTAAATGAAGATGAATGAAGAGGAATGAACGAGGAAGAATGAATGAAGAGGCATGAACAAAGAATGCGTGAAGATGAATGAAGGATGAATGAATGAAGAGGCATGAATGAGGAAGAATGAGTAAATGAAGATGAATGAAGAGGAATGAATGAGGAAGAATGAATGAAGAGGCATGAACAAAGAAGAATGCGTGAAGATGAATGAATGAAAAATGAATGAATAATGAATGAAAGAATGAATGAAAAGGAATGAAGAAGAATGAATAAAGAGCAATGAAGAATGAGTGAAGACAAATGAATGAATGAAAAAGAATGCAGATGAATGAGAATGAAGAACGAATGAATGAAAAAGAATGAAGACAAATGAATAAGAATGAATGAACAAAGAATGAATAATGAATGAATGAATGAATAATCAAGAAGAATGAATGAAGAATGAAGAATAATGAGTATGAAGAATGAATGAAGAATAATGAAGAAGTTGAATGAAGAAGTAGAAGAAAAAGAAGAATGAATGTGAAGAAGAAGAGGAAGACCAAGAGCAAGAAAAAGAATTGGACTGAGCCTCTCATGTAACAAGGCATCACTGACATCCACATCCAGTTTCTCTGATAATGGAGTGGCTCAAGCCTCAGTCCACCCAGTTTCCTGCTTCCAATAAATATGACCCTGAAGAGTCAGTAGGCGACGGTTTGTGTAGCTGGATCCCTGCTGCCTACATGGCAGACCAAGACTGAGCTCCCAGCTCTGAGTGTTGGCCCGGCCCAGCCCTAAAGTTACAACTATTTGGGGAATAACCCAGAAATAAGAACTTTCTCTATCTCCACCTCTCAAATAAATGCATTTTTATAAGATTTACATCTCCCGAAGACAGTGTATGGATGAATTATGAATAGGTATATAGGAAACAAAATAATTATGTTAAAGAAAATGTTGAGTGAGACAGAAAATGTAATCCTATTACATGACCCAGATATAGCACTTAGAGAATCATAATAATGCAATTATTGATTGTAAACTGTCCCACTAAAAGATTATCAAGTTACTGGGAAAACAGAAGAAAAAGAAATACATGTGGATGAGTTTATCTTACCTATATAAGTGGGGAGGGAAAGGATAAACATTAAGTCCTCATTTTATCTTCCTCCAGAATCACTTCTGCCTTTAAACCTGAGAGAAGGTGTGGGTGTAACTGCTGTCTGCTGTGATTGCCAAGGTATAAAATATGCTGGTTTACTTTCACTCCCAGGAAAGAGTAGCAGAAGAATATACACTTGTGTATCCCTCCCCAAAATATACACTTGCAAGTGGGCAGAGAAAGTGTCCTACTCTGATAATAACAAGAAAAAAAATATCTACTCTGGCTCTTAATATGTTGTTGGTCACAAGTATGCCCAAAGTGCTTCTAATGACATAGTTGAAAGCTAGAGTCTCTACAGAGTACAAACCTGTTTCAAGCTTTCCTGAAGCTGTAAATTTCCATTCGTTTTCTTAAGTAAATCCAAATATATCTGAAAGCTATTGGTGGCTCTTTCAGCCTAAGCATAAGTCAGCTATTGGTGGTTCTTTCAGCCTAAGTCAGTAACAATTAACATAACATAATAGATCATCTTCATGGACTCCCTAGAATATCCACGTGGACAACAGCTAAAGCGTCCTAAAGCATGGCAACAACATGCCAACAGAGGCAGCCCAGAGTAGCAGAAAGAAAGAACCTAGAGTCAGTCTATAGTTCTGTCACCAATTTGCAACGTGACCTTGGACAAATGACATAACCTCTTATCAATGTCCATGTATTGCATAGCAAATTTTGTGAATTATGTATTCTGTATCTCCTCCACTACAAGCTAACTTTATGAGAGTTTTTCTGCCTTAACATGGTAAACACCAAGCATATTCAACAGAACTCAGTATGCAGCAACAGCTTTTCAAATACGTGTATAGTGCTATAATAAACTTTCATCAAGTGTCTTATGTGTGTATATGTATGTGTATGTAAACCAAAGATCATCTACCTCTGAAACCCTAACATCAAACAGTATTCCTGAATAATAAAAGCAAAGATGGCTCTAAATTTTCATTCTGAAACAAACCAACACCGTGAGCACAAACTATAAATTATTCTAATAAAGATTTACTTATTTGTTTGGAAGGCAGGGCTTCACACAGAGAGAACTTGTGAAAACACCTGTTTGCAATAGCCAGATTAGAAAAATATACTTGAAATAAACATAATGAAAAAAGGAATCCCTTATAAAATGTAGGAAAATTATTAAAAGGAAAATATGAATATGCTTTTTAAAATGTGAAAAAGCAAGTCCATAAAAAGAATATTCAAGTGGTTCAAAGATATATAAAGAAACTCATTAGGACAACACAGGGTAAAACCAGAATGAGACAACATCACTCCTAACACAATGACTAAAATTAGTAAGAACTGTTAAATGTTGAAGTGAAGAACAGCATAATGCTGTATTACACTCCAAATAAACTATTTACACAAAACTATGTACATAGTAATTACAGTTTCTTGGCTCTTTTTTATTTTGAAAACTGTCTTACCTCTTTATCCGCAAAGCTATGTTTGTCAAGTAGTTCACATTTTTCTTTTATTGGTCCAGAAAGCTCTACAGCGGGCTTTTTCTTATTCGCTAAAAAATATAGTAAACTGTAAGTTTTCAGATTATACACAAAAATTATGAGATCTAAAATAGAGCAACAAAAAAGGCTTACCTGTAAAAATATGTCTCTTAACCTGAAACAAATTTTGAACAAAAGATGTTAAAGCAAATATACATTTAGGTAAATCTAAGTTAACGTCTGCCAATGTAAATGTTACAAATAATTTCTGCATGACAAATGCTCTATTTCCAATGAGAAAATCTACACGTGAAAGTCTTCCTATCAAAAACTTAAATTAAGTATTATAGAAACAGCTCTGAAATAGTTTTTTTGTAAAGATTTCTGTTTCATTTCACTCATTTATTTTCCCTAAACAAATCTGGCACTAAAAGGAATATTTTCAGAAAACTATTATCACATCCCCTAATGCTAACACTCAAAATACATATGATAAATATTATCAATTGGACACATCTGAACTGATTGTAAAGAAAACAGTAAAGCAAACCTTACTTTTCTTTGATCTTTATCAAATAATAAAGTTTAAAAAAATCTATTTTCAACAGCCCCATTAGGGATGAGGAAGAAAATAAAAGAAAACTTAATTCAGCTACAAAATATGGATTCAAATAAGATTAAATAAGGAAAAATAGGGTATAATAGAATGCTACAATGGTAAACTAGTGAACCAAAACATTATTTTGAGAAACTCCCTCAAGCTTAAAAGAAAAAATCAGCCCAACTGCTTAATCCTCTGCCTGCCAGCACTCAGTATCCCATATGGGTGCCAGATCTCACCATGGATGCTCAGCTTCCCATCCAGCTCTCTACTTGTGGCCTGGGAAAGAACTGAAGGATGGTCCAAAGGCTTGGCACCTGTACCCATGTGGGAAACCTAGAAGAAGAGCTTGGATTCTGGCTTCTGATCAACCTCATTCCTGCCATGGGTACACTTTGGGGAGTGAACTAGCAGATGGAAGATCACCCTCTTCTCTCCTTGTCTCTGTAAATCTGCCTTTCCAATAAAAATAAATAAATCTTCAAAAACTAAAAAAATAAAAAAGAAAAGGAAAAGCAATAACTGAAAAACATTAGTTCAAAAAGAGAAAATAATTTTTTAAATGAAGAAAATATATCTCCATGTTTACAAAAAAAAAATCCTAACTCTGAGTCTGCAGAAGTCTAAAAGATAGAGAAAAGGAATTTTATGGCTAGACACATTATATTTAAAGCAGAATAACAAGTTAAAAGACCCTTAAAGAGCCCTTATAATGCCATAGTATGTTATGCTATCATCTGTGATACCAGCATCTCATATGGAAACTGATTGCTCTTTTTCAAACCCAGCTCCTTGTGAATGCACCCAGGAAAGCAGTAAGAGGTGGCCCGTATTATTGGACCCATGCTACCCACTTAGGACACTGGAAAAAGCTCCTGGCTCCTGTCATCTTTTGACCTGGCTCAGCCTCACTGGTTGTAGCCAAAATTTGGGGAGTGAACCAGTAGATAAAAAAATAACTCCCCTCCCTCTGCCTTCATCTCCCCCTCCAACTATGCCTTTCAAATAAATCTTTCACTACATCTTTCAAAATTATTTTCTGTAATGTTTATGTCAATGATGAAGAAATCACAGGCACATTCGGGGACATATGTGCAGAATGAGAAAAGTGAGAGGAAGAGAAGCTTGTATTTGTATCTCTGTTCATCAGGAGAGAGTGCACCCCTCCCTGTTGCATGGCTCTCTTGACCCAGGAAATGGAGTGGCTGCATGATGTCACCCTCAAGTTCCACATGAAAGGAGCACATCTTGGAAATGGGATCAGTTTCTCTAAGAGATCAGCAGCTGCATTTGCAGTCCAACTCCATTACTGACTTGGGAAACAGCAAATGGTTGCTCAAGGATTTGAATTCCTGGCACATACGAGGAAAGACACAGATGCAATTTCTGGGCTGCATTCTGGCCCAGGCTTTAGTTATTATAGCCACTTGACAAATGAACCAGTCATTAGAAGATTAACTGCTTATTCCCTCTATTTCTCTTGCTAAATTTCAAATAAATAATGTTCTTTTTGTTTTTGTTAAGTGGGAAAAGTTAATAAACTAAGCTTGAAGGAACTAAGTACATCAATTATCAGTAATCATAATAAACTTCTGAACTTGACCTACTGATGGAAAACATCATGGTAAGACGGTCACAATCCAAAGGAGAGGGCTTGGGCTCAATCTCCAGCTCTACCTCCTGCCTCCATGGTCCTGCAAACACAAACCAACCACAGGAGGCACCAACAATAGTTCACGTATTCAGGCCATGCCACTCATGCAGGAGGCTCTGATTGGGTTCTCAACTCCCAAGCACAGCTGGCCCAGCCCTAGCTGTTGGAGGCATCTGAGCAGTGAAATAGCAGATTGGACATTTCTTTTGGTCTGTATGTCTCTCTGTGTTTCTTTCTCTATCTCGCTCTCTAATAAAGTTTTTTAAATAGACAAAAAAAGAAATGAAAGAATTTTGGTATTTTAATACTACAGAAAACCTCTACAGGAAATTCTTTCAAAATGTTGTACTTACAAAATTGTTGTGAATGCCTTTGGTTTTTATATTAGACATAGAACATAAGTGATTGTCTTTCCTTAAAGCAATATACATTTCTTATATTAGTTGTTCTGCTTAAAGACAGGATGAACTTCTTTTAGTATAGCATTGTTTACTTACACATTGAAAAATTCTCCTCAAAAGCATGAAAATTAGAAAACATGCAACAACAGTTGCACAGATCTTCCAGTCCAATGGAAAACCACGAGAATCATGGCTTTCGCCAATATTTTCAGTTAGCACAATCAAAACCTTAAAGACAAAGGAAATTAAGTTCTTAAAATGCAATGCAGGCAACAAGTACTGATTACAAACACAGTTACAACTCTATATAGCCAATTCCCTCATTTTCTTTTCAGGAAATGAAAACACCAAACAGAAGGCACCACAGGATACTTTTCTGCAAACTGCTAGCTACTATCACTCAATGATAAAGAAGTGCAATAGAGGGAAAGGCAATGATTTCTTAAACTGGAAGCATACAGATGTGCTCCCATAGCTTCCAAAGGGAAGAACAGAAACAAAGAAGGCCAAAGAAAGAAGCTGAGTGACCTAAGTTCCGTTACTTTTTTTTTTTAACACCAATTGTGTTTTATATACAGAGTTTACTGTATTTTACACAAAATATATTCCTATTGGAAAGAAAACATTTATCTGAAGCTTGCAAATGGACATTGGGGAGTGGATATTTTTGCTTAATGATTAAGATACATTCCACAGAATTACCTTGTTCAATTCCCAGTTTCAGGTACTGACTCCAGCTTGCTGCTAATGCAGACTATGGGAAGCAGCAGTCATGGCTCAAGTAACTGAGTTCCCGACCCCACATGGGAAACCTAAGTTGTATGCATGACACCCAGCTTCAGCCTCAGACACAGCAGACATTCAGGGAGCAGACAAGCAGATGAAAGCACTCTCATTCTCTGGCTTGATCTCCACAACTCTCAAACAAATATCTCAATTAAAAAGCTTAAAAACCAATGACAAGCTTGGGTTTAAAATTCTGTTTTAAAGGACTCATTTTATTTACTTCAGAAGTAGAGTGAAACAGAGATAACTCTTCTATTCACTTTCCCCAATCACAAAAGCAGAAGAAGCTAGGTCTGGGCAAAGTCAGATGTCTACAGCAACATCTGGGTCTCCCACATGGGCTGCAGCTGTCCAAGCACATGGGCCAGCTTCTGCTTCTTTCCCATGTACATCAGAGTAAGTAGATCAGAAGTGGAACAGCCAGTATTTCGGCATGGGATGGCAATGTCATGATTCTGGCCCCTGTGTTTAGATTCTGAACCCCTGCATCCAAACTCTATAGGTTTCTCTGATTATCTATGATGGGAATGAAATATTTGGAACACCCAAGTAATTGAGAGGGTGAACATTTTTTTTTGCCCCATTCATGGTAGTCTTGCCATAACTGTGACCTTGTAAATCAATTCTCTTCCCCTCACCCTCACCATAGGTCTTGAGCACAACACAGCTCAAGACTTTCAACCTTGTTTCTGTGTGTCAACTTTCTCTGGATCAGCTCATCACTCATCATCGCTCAGTAAGATTTTTCTATTGTTTCTTTGCCAAGCCCCAGATGCTACTCTACCAAAAACAAAGGAGGCAGGGAGGAGAAAGGAGAATAAAAATACATTTTAAAGAGTCTTCTGAAGTACAAGTTTAGCTCTTTCCAGGTTTCAATCCAAAATCTCTACAGCAAATGTTCACTTGCTAGAAACTTTTTGCCTAAAAGAAAGACACTCTTTAATAAGTACTCTCCCCTCCAAAATCATTTTTCTAACTCTAATCCCCATACCCAGGTTGCTGTCTATAGTTCATTAACCTATACCAAATAAATAAACCTGATAATAGCTTTTTTTTTTGGAAAGACAGAAAAAGAGCAACAACAACAACAACAACAACAACAACAACAAAGCCAAACTAGTTTTCACCTAGTTTTTCACTCTCCAAACGCCTTTTTCTCCCTCATCCCTAATTAAAGCAATACTGATTTTAATTTCCAATGTTTAAACACGTCCTCACTCATTGTCCCCTCTCACTGCAGCTGTATGTTCAGTTTCGCTTCTCTGACATCTACCCTACATCTTACCTAGGCTCAGGAAGGCCCAGGTCTAACGCCTGAAAAGGCTTCAAACAGCTCCCCAATGCCAGCAAGCATGCCAACATATCCTCAGTTCCTGAGCCCACTCTCCACTAACACAGCTGCTTTTCACTTTAATGCACTGCTGTGCTTCATGCCTGCACTGCTTAAGACATTTCCTCAGCCTAAAGACTTCCATAATCAAGAGAATGTCATCTGCCCACCCTATAAATTTCCCTAGCAGGTGTGTGTATGCTTCAGCAAGCATTTGATTTTTTAATACTAGTGATCTGTTCTAATCATTGTCTTCTCTTCCTTGACATCTTGATACTGGTGGCCAAAACTTTACGTTACTTCACTCAAAATACACACACACACACACACACCCCTCCCTCAAGCTACAGTGCAATAAGTGAAAGAACAGCATAATTACATCTGCCTCAATGTTTAAATAGTCTCTTAAAAATATTAGTGTTTTTTTTTAAACTTGGCATTATGCAACAAAGACAACTATACACACTGAAAGGCAGGAGGTCTCTGTTACCTAATAATGAACTGAACAACAACAACAAAAAATAACTCTGGGAATTGACAATCACTAAGCTTTAATAATCTCCTCTCTGTTAACATGACAAAGATGAAAGAGGGTGAACAATCTCACTGAAAAGCATTTCAGGGGCACTCTTCATTGAAGATAATGATATAATCCCACACTTTCAACTGAGCTCAAGTGTCCTTTCAATACAAAAGGTTTCATCACTAAATGGATTTGGGGAGATTTGTCCTCAAAATTGTCACAGTTGGAAGAATGACGTGTCACGGATCCCTGCCCCAAATTTAAAACAAACATAACAAAAAGGCCACTTCATTTGGCACTCAGAAACCATTCCCTTACTTTGTGATATCCAATAAACCAAGCTCCCTCTTCACATTCCTGATACCCAGGTCCTGATATACCATAGGAACAAACCATCCAATACACCTGGTCATAGGTGAGGGCTGGCCTCAGACCCTGTGACAACAGTGGCTCAAATCACAAAACCCTCATGGTGCCCAGACTCACATTGTGTAGCTCATCCAGGAACCACCCCACATATGAATGAGGGGTAGCCCCTGGCGGCTCCATGAAACAAAGCAGCTTCAGTGGTCACCACCACATCCACGGCCTCGCAGCAAAGAACACTGACTTCGTTCTGAAACCCACACCTAGCAACTGGAGCGTACCACTGCACAGCCAGCAATGGGGGACCAGGGAGAGCCACGGAAAATGGACACCACAGGCCTGTGATGTTACACCACAAAACTGTTAGGGTGTCATGGCCCCTTTATTAAACTTTCTATTTCAGGTTAGTGCAGGTCTGAATCCATCCCACTGGGGCCTGTGACATATACCCTCTTCACCACCCCACCCCTACCCCTCTACGTAAATGGAATTATCCAACTGCCACTCTTGAGGTACAGAGGCACAGGCTGGCACCTCCATCTTGGTGGGAGGCGCTCTTAAATGGGCAGATGCTATACGTGGGTATTTCACCCCCCACCCCTAAATCCAGGAAGATAAAATATTTGGGCCTGGAGAATGTAATTGGGCCTCAGGTCCTGAGCTGTGTGTATGCTACACAGCCAGAAAGATTGGGGCTGTGGCTCAGAAACTCAGGCCTTGGGAAGCTGTGGTGGTGGCTGCCAAGCTACTATCAAAGGTCTCATGGTGCAGCTCCATTGGGTGATAACAGTGTGCCCTCTTGACCCAGTAGCCCAAGCCAGCCCAGGCCTGAGCCTCAGCAGCTGGTCAACAGTAACAGAGGTACAACATTGGGACAGCCTGTAAATGTCCAAGTGCTATCAGACAGCTGTTCAATCATGGCACTTAGGGGGTGGGAGGAATCTGTGAGCTCCATCCTGCATGTGGCCACTCTAGGAAAGGGGCTGGCAGGGGCACTTATTAAGAGACATCTTCTTGACATCTGAGGATGTGGTGCCACTGTACTTCCAGCTGAGTTCTGACCCAGATCTAGGACCATGCTAGAGCATAAAAATGGAAAGCCTGACTTCTACTGAAAGTCTCGGGCCTCTAGCCCTGAGTCCTCAAACACTCACCTGCCCACTTGCCTGACCATGCGCACAGATTAAGACACAGGAGTCTCCATGCTGATCAAGTGGCTGAGGGGGTGTGGCATGTGACACCTGCTTGCTGGGCTCCCTGCAGAAAAAAATGTGGTGAGTTAGAAATGCTTTTGTCCATGGTGCCCCCCTCTTCTAGATGTTCCCTGAGCCACTTCTTCCATCCAAGCTGGACATTCCACTTGGCACCAGCATGATCACCTGCACTGGAGGGGCTTTCTGGAACCAGGGGAGGAAGAAATGCAGGAAAGATGATGGTATACAGTGCCCTACAGAACCACAGGGAAGACCCGGGACCCAACCAATGATCACAGATATGGTCCAGCATACCAACAAACACTTGTGTTGAGAACTTTCAACAGATCTCAGGAAAGGATTTGAGATCCAGAGCAAGGGCATCTACCAGTTCAGTATCAGGTCCCCCCCACAATGATGGGCAAGAGGGCAGCCCCTCTCTAGGCACGCCCAATTTCCTAGGATGAAAAGCTCTCAGCATGAGAACCAGGTGCTCACAAAGTCTTTCTATTTACCAAATCAATTTCCTTTTCCAAAAAAGTTTTTTAAATGCTTGAGTGATAGGTATATCAATTTCACCATTCAAAAATAACAAGCTGGTTGTAGGCCACAGAGTGAAGAGAATATAAATGTAAAAATGGAAAGCCTTGGAACTGGTATTGTGACACAGAAGTTAGGGCTACAGCCTGTGGTGCCTGCATCCCATGCAGATGCTGTTTCAAACCTTGGATGCTCCACTTTTATTCTAGCTGGCATGGTGTTGGGTCCCTGCTCCCAATAAGAGAGACACAGATGCAGCACTTGGCTCCAGCTTTTGCCTGGCCCAGCCATGGTCATTGCAACAAACTGGGGCATGAATTGGAGCAGACAGAATAATCTCTCTCTGCAGCTGTCTTTCTCTAATTTGGACTTTTTAGATAAATTAAACAATAAAGATCAGAAGCCTTTGTTGTGCTGCAATGTGTTAGGCTGCTGTGTGGGATGCCCTCATCCCATGATGGAATGCATGGGATCTAGTTCTGTCTCCACTGTAACATCGCTCTAACCTAGCTTCCTGCTAATGCACAGGAATAAGAGGAGCATGTGATGGGCCAAACACTGGCTCCTGGAGTCAGCAAGGTCCAGTTGCAGCTGTTGTCAGCATTTGGGGAGAGAAGTAGCAGATGGATGGTGTGTGTGTGCATATGTGTGTGTGTGTTTGTGTGTGTATGCAAGTGCACACGTAGTTTTTCTTCTGATTTAATTTTTAAGGAAGCAAATGACAAAAATGCAGCTTTTCAGAAATGGGAAGAGTTTAAACTGGTCAACATACTTGCTGTTTTAAGTGAGTAAAACAGATTGGACAGAGAGCAGATGTGCATACTCAGTGTAACTCCATTTTACCAGCTCTGTGAGTGGTCATTTCTATGAGATCTTTTTCCTTCCAGATGGCTCATAGCAGTTAGTTCAGGACACTCCACTTCTAACCACCTTCCAAACTGGATCTCTTGACTCCTCCTACAACGTCAGGGCTGATTACAGCCACTAACTGGATTCTGTGAAGCATAAGGGCTTTAGAATGGACTTGCCATTCCATCAATGTAGTAAGTGCTCATCTCTCTTCTGCCTCTGACACTGATTGATACACTATTATGACCAAATGTAAGAGAGGTTGATCCTTTGACAGAACTTGCATCCTCACCAGAGGGAGGCACCTTGCTTTTTCCTTTCCATGAAGTGGATGATGAGTTCTGGATCCTGTTACTAATTGGCCCTGGCATCCAATCTGGGAAATGGGATCCTTGGTAGTCTAAGTACAATCACCTACTTCATCCTCCATAAGGGGAACAACCTGACGAATGTAATGAGTGTGGAAAAGCTTTTTGCCATATGTCATCTTTTATAAGACATTGGCAAACACACACCAGGGAGAAGTCTTATGAATTCCATGACTGGAAAAGCCTTTATCTAGAAATCACAACTTAGAATACATCAAGGAACAAACACAGGGGAGAGACCTTATGAATATATGACTGGAAATGCTTTCTGTATAAACCACATCTTATGGGCATCAGTGAAGTCAAACAAGGGGGACAGATATGAGAGTAATGACTTTTAAAAATGCCTTTTTATGAAAATCTGTTCTCATGAAATAGAAAATTCACCAGGGATAGAAACTCAAAGGGCTAATCACAAACTAGCAACTCTGCTGTCAGTTCCACTCTCCTGGGTCTCTGTGGCCCCAGGCGATATGCCTTTCCAACTTGGTTGCTGCCCCAGGGCCAAAATATGTTGGTAATTGCAAAGTGCCTCCTTGCCTTCCTGTTCTATCACACTCTGCTCCAGGCACAGCCACGTTTGGCACCAACTCTGCTCCCTCAGCAGGCCACATGACCACCCACTGCTGTTCTGCAACAAAAAGGCCAGAGTAACACAAGGCTGTCCTCACCCCCAGGCTCTGCTGCACAAGGCCATGCCAACAACTAAAGCCCAATGCCAAGTGAGTCCAATCTGCACCCACAAGTCCCTAAAACAGGAGACATCAAGGCTTCTGTTGGACCAGCTCCTCCTGCACACACAGATGCCTCTCAGACATGGATACTGTGAACAGAAAGGCCCCTGTCTCACAAGCACACCCATGCATCCACTGGCCTGCATACAAAGGTCAAAGTTGCAGAAGGCCATACATCCACCCCAACAGCCACGCTGCACAGGGCCATGCTTGTACCCAAGCCACTTGTCTCATAGGATTGTCCCTAAACCCATAGATCCTTGTCTTCCAGGGAGTCACAGAAAATGCAGGGGTTAGTCTGGCAAGGCCATCCTCTATTACAGGCCCAAGTTGCACAAGATCGACCTGCACGGACAGGTCCCAATTGCACAAGTCCGTTCCTACAGCCAATGGCCCCAGTCACTCGAGATCATCCTGCACACACGGATCCCTCTCCCATGAGACACTTGCTGAACACAAAACCCCCTTTCTCATGAGGCCAACCCTGCACTCACAGGCTCCTTTGCATGAGATCATTCCTACAAAACCACTATCACACAAGACCATACCTGCACCTATGGGCTCCTGTTGCATGAGGAAATCTCTGCAACCAAAGGCCAAGGTTGGGTCAAGCCTTCCTCCACCCACAGTTCTCCATTGCATGATGCCATCCCTGTACCACCTGGCCCGTTATTAGAGTCCTTCCTGCATCCACAAGGCCCTCACGCAGGAGACTATTTCAGCATACCAAAAACCCTTTTACACAAGGCCACACCTGCCTCCAAAAACCAACGTCACATGAGGAGACCCTTGCACCAACAGCTAGTTGCACAACTCCATCCTGTACACACAGGCATCTGTCATACGAGGTCATCCCTGCACCCAAATGCACCTGTCACATGAGGCTTCCTGCATACTCAGGCCTGTCATATGACTCTATCCTCATCCATTTGGAGAGGACTTCCCTGTATCCAAAGGCCAATTCCATATGAAAACATCCCTGCACATAGAGTACAATGTCACACAAGGCCATCCCTGCACACAAAGTTCCTTTGCACAAGGCCATCCTACACCCAGGAACCCTGAAGCATAATAATATCTCACTTCAGGCCATCTTACACATACAGAACCATCTAGCATGAGGTCATTTCTGCACCTAAAGCCACAATGACATAGGCCATGCCTGAATCTAAGAGCCCTTTTGCACAGGAACTTTCCTGGACCCACACCTTCCTGTGTTCCAGGCAGACCTTGCAAACACAAGGAGGGCCCTGCAAATCCATCCTGAATCACAAGCCCAATTTACACAGGGACATCTTGCAAACACAGGCCTCTGTCGTATGAAGCCATCCCTGCTCCAATGACCAATATGGTGCGAGGTTGTCCTACATCCAATGGCCCCTATCACATGGAGTGATCCCAGGACAGAAAGGCCTCTGGTTCATGAGGCCAAGATGCAACCACAAGCCTAAGACTCACAAGGTAGTCCTATTCCCACAAATTCTGGTGACATGAGGCCACTTCTATAAGCAAAGTCAAATGTCACATGAAGCTAACCTATGCCTACAGTTCTGCTACATGAGGCCATTGCCGTACCCAAAGGCCCCTGTCACTCATGGAAATTCTGAACCCATGGATTCCTCATGTATGAGGCAATCTCTGCAATATATACAAGTCCTCTCATACAAGGTTACCCCAGACCCAAAGCCCATTGTCACACAAGGCTGCCCATACACACAAGCCTCTGCTGAATGAAGCCCTCCCTAAACTAATGGTCAAAATAGCACAAGGCCATCCTGGGCACACTTGTCCTGTCACACAAGTACATCTCTGCAACTAAAGAATTCCACACATGAAGTCATGTCTGCGCTCAAGGGCCCTGTCATGACACTCTCCATAAACCCACAGACTCTTGTCTTTTAGGCAGTTCAGCAAACAGTCCTGCAAGATCATCCTCTCTCACATGTCTGTGCTGCATGAAGCCATCCATGTAGCAACAGCCAAAGTGACACAAGGCTGTCCTGCATGCACAGATCCCTGACACATAAGTCCATTCCTGCACACATGGGTCTCAGTCATATGAGGGCATCCCTGCACCCAAGGAACCCTTTTTGGTTGAGGTCATTCCTGCAAACAAAAATCAATACCAAATGAGGTCATTCTGCACTACAGGCCACTATCACCAGAGGCCTTCCCTGTACCTAAATCTCAGGGATTTCTGACTAGCAGATCCCCATGACCACTAAGGAGATGAGGTGACAGTGTTCTTCAGCAAGACTCACCAGATACAGTCTGGTTGAGCATGTCTAGTTATCGTAAAGCAAGCATAAATTTATATAGAATAAGAAAAAGGGAAGGCAGAAGGGCATCCCCTGACAATCCTTCCACCCCACAATGGTACTGTGATTGGCGAGAAGGCAGCTCTACCTCTCCAGACCCTCCAGTCCTGCTACAGGTCACATAAACCACATGTGCCTGGCAGGTAATGTGGGATCACACCAACTTGTCAGATTGCTTATCAAGGAAGTTCCAGCACAGCTCACCCAAAGACAGAGAAGGAAGGCTAGGGTACAGCTCACTGTTCTTGCCAGTGATGGCCAGTGAACAGGTCAAGCTGAGGTCTCGGGGTGCCAATACCATTGATGGGGGCTCCCCTGGGGACTCAGTATGCCATGTCTTTATGAACTCCCATATAGGTCAAACAGGAAGAGATCTACGGGCAATCTCCCATACCCAAAGACCACTGGTGCTAGAGGCCATCCCATACCCATAGATACCTGCCAGATGAGGGCATCCTGTACACACAGGTCATCCCTGCACCCAAAGTCCCCTCAGGAGAGACCTTCCCTGCACACAAAAACAAATGTCACATGAGGTCATGTGCTTCTGTCTCACAAGGCCATTCCTGCAAGAAAAGTCTATGTCACAGGAGTCTGTCCTGCACCAACAAGTCTCTGTCACACAAGGCCATCCTTGCACCTAAAGGTTCTCATCTCATGAGCCTTTCCTGCACCCACAGATATGTCTCACATGACGCCATCCCAGAACAGAAAGACTGCTATCTTGTGATTTATCCATGCATCCAGATGACTTGGACTCATGAGGTCACCCTGTACCCATAGATCCCTGTAACATGAGGCCATCCCTGTACCCACAAGCTCCATTCACACAAGGCTATCTCTGGAACCAAAGGCCAATGTCACGTGAAGTCATCTTAGACCCACAGTTCCGTCATACAAGGTCATCAGTGCACTCACAGACCCCACCTGCATCTACAGATCCCACAATCATGAGGCCATCTCTGCACACAAAGGAATTGTCACATAAGGCCATCACTGTATCCAATAGCCACTCTGTGTGCGGCCATCCCTGCACACAAAGGCCACAATCACGTGAGGCCACATCTGCACACAAGGCAAATGTCACATGAGACCCTCCCTGCACATACAGGCACTGTCACATAAGGTCGTCCTAATCCAACTGCCCCTGCCACCTGAGATCATCTCTGCACACAAAGGCTCCTGTTACATAAACCCATCCTTGCACTCAATGGCTAATTTCATGTAAGACCAAGCCTATACCCAAGACAACTGTCACTCCAAACTGTACCTGAACCCACATACATTGGCTTTCCTGGCATTCCCATAAAACACAAGGGTCAGTTCTTGATGCCATGCTGGATCACAGGACCAAGTCATAGGAGCCCACCAGGCACACATACACAGCCTCTGTCAAAGAAGGCCATAACTACAACCAATGGCCAAGATAGTTAAAGGCCATGCTGCAACTACAGGTCTCTGTCACATGAGGCCATCATGGCATACAAAAGCAACTGTCACAAGAGGCATCATTACACCCTCAAGCTCCTCCATACAAGGCCATCCATGCATCCATAGGCCCTGGATGTACAAGGACATCCCAGCATGAACAGGCTCCAGACATGTGATGTACCCACAGGCCCTCTATGCCAGGGCATCCCCAAACCAACAGGATCCTTTTGCGAGAGACCAGCCCTATATCCACACACCCGTTATATAAGACCATCTATGATCTCATGGACCCTGTGCCTAAGAGGCCATCCCTTCACATACAGGACCTCTCATGCTTTAACATTCCTGCAACCACAGGCCACATATGTGCAAAAACATCACTGCACCCACAGCCTCTGGATGTGTAAGGCCAACCCCACAACAGAGGTCCCAAACATGTGTCGTAACCTCTATACTCACAGGCCACCGTTACATGAGGTAGTCTGGGCACCCAAACACCCTGGATGCAAACGGTCATCCCCACCCCCATACACACGCAGGCACCATTTGCTTGAGGCCATCCCTGATCATAAAAATAATGAGTGAGGCCATCCCTGCCCCTATATGCCCTGGAGCCATGAGGCCATCCCCATACACAGGCCCTGTTCATGTGAGTCCATCCTTGCACACACAAGCCACTATCATGCTTTGCCTTTGCTTCAGCCAGTCACAGATGTGTGAAGTCTTTGTTGCACCCACAGGCTCTGGACATGAAAGACTACCCCAGAACCAAAGGCCCCAGTTGCCTGAGGCCTTCCCTGTCCCCACAGTCCCCAGATGCACGAGGCCATCAATGCACCCACAGACCTTTGTCATTAAGGCAGATCCTGCACCTACACACCCTTGTCATTGAGGCAGATCCTGCGGCCACAGACCCTTGTCACTGAGGCAGACCCTATAGCCACAGAACCTTGTCATTGAGGCAGACCCTGCATCCACAGAACACTGTCATTGAGGTAGACCCTGCACCTACACACCCTTGTCATTGAGGCAGATCCTGCGGCCACAGACCCTTGTCACTGAGGCAGACCCTGAACCACAGACCTTTGTCACTGAGGCAGACCCTGCAACAATAGACCCTTGTCACTGAGGCATATCCTACACCCAGAGACCCTTGTCATTGAGGCAAACCCTGCATCCATCGGCCCATATTGTGAGAGGCTGTCCTGCACCTAAAGGACCCGGATAGATTAGGCTGTCATGAACACGGCTGCACTGGGAATGTAAGCTGTGAACACATGCACAGGCTAAGGCCTCCCCAGACTTTCCCATACCCACAAGCCTTTGGAAGGTAAGGCTGTCCCTAAACTCAAAGACCCCTTATCCTGTAGCCCACAGGCCCCCATCATGCAAGGGTGTCCTGCACGAATAGGTCACAGACACTGAGCCTATACTCACACCTAAGAGCCCAACACATGAGGCCTTCCTTGTACCGACAAGCCACTGTGGCATGAGACGTCATCCTGTACCCACAGATGCCTTTTGTACAATGCTGCTCCTCCCAGGCCCTTAACACATCAGGTCACCCTGAACCCAAAGATTCCTGTTGTGCAAGGCCATCTCTACACCCACAGACTCCTGTCATCCAAGGCCATCTCTGAACCCACAGGCACCAGATGGTGGGGCAGTCCACAACATACAGGTCACAATCACAACTGTCCTGCCCCTCACCCACAGGCCCTGGCATGCAAGGCCAAACTACATCCAAAGGAAATTGACACCAAATTCCCAAGCTCACGTGGTGGGATGCCATCCTACACTCATAGTTCCCTGTCACACAAGACCACCCCTGCATGCATAGATCCATGTTCTGTGATACCATATCTGTACCTACAGGCCCCCAGATGGGTGCAGCCATGACTTTACCCATGGAATCCTGTCACATGAGGCCACCTCTGCCCCCACTGACCCTTGTCCTGCAAGGCCATTCCTGAGGTTGTCCCTAAACCCACAGGCCCTTGGAGGAGCCAAAGGTCATCACTGTACAGATCGTCCCCTGTAGGGTAAGGCTGTCCTCACACAGTAACCACCAACACCCTGCCTCTGGCTTTGTGTTGACGGGGTCATTCATCTGCTCAGCCCAGAAACTCACATCCTTGACCTCTGACATCTCCTTGCCCAGACATGTAGCTGCCATGCCATAATGGCAACCTTTCCAGCAGAACCAGGTAAATCAATCTCAACCACAAAAGAACACCTTCATCCTACTTTGCTCTCAGAGAGCCGAGGGCCAAGTCTTCCTCAGGGTAATCTCCAATGTCAGCAGGATCCTGGATGGCTATTTCTTACAGGAACTCTACTGTGACTTTAAAGTCTGCACTGGACATGGCCCAGCCAGTAACTCCATGGCAGATGCGAACATGGCAAAGTCCTTCACTTACACAAGTAAAACACCTAATTTTTTCCAGTTTTCACATGTCTAAACATCTTCTGTTGGGCAGCAGAGCCAGCAGAAAGGAGAAGGGGAGAGGCCATGTCAGGTGCTTCAGAAAGCAGCCCACTTCTGCCTGGCACCCATCCACACAAGCGTAACTCCAGTCACTCACAGTCTCAAGTCACTCACAGTTACTTTGCTGCTGTTCATCTAGGGTGAACCTGTGCAGAATGAACTATACACCTCCCAACTCCAATGCCTGCTGAGAACGCAGGGAGACTCACTTCTGTTGACAATCCTCAACTTCTGGGAGCCCTCCAGGACTTCCTGATTGAGGATTCTAGGCAGAAAGTTCCAGATCTGCATCACCTCCATCATTGAGTGCTTGAAGTACTTCTGGTTGCAAAAACTCTTCCTTCATACTCACGGGCTACAAGGAAAAGCACATCTTCTCATCACTGTCATTGCTCCCCAAGCACCTGGCAGAGAGCCCCCCTAGTCAGCTTCCCTGCCCTGCTTCCTGTATCCCTTGCAGGTTCTCACCTATCTGCAACAAAGCAAACACACAAATAAGTAAGTAAAATTTAAAACTCCACACATCTGACCCCTGGAAACAGAGATCATGTGTGTACATGCACAAGGGGAACAGGGCAGACAGCAAGCACCCTGCTAGACAGGAGAAAAAGGGGGACCCACCCTGCTGGTCAACTCCACCTGCAGCACAAACCCAGCACAAGCCATCCGGTCAGAATCCCGGCTAACTAAGAAGGGAGCGCAACGTGGAATCTTGTGCAAAGGGAAACAGTGTTCACTGCCCCCTGACTGCCCCTGCACCATCACAAGCAATGCAAGTGACTACCAGGCAGCTCATGCCAGTTGGATTCTCTCTAAATCTAACACAGAATCCCCAAGGGAGTGACCAGAGCCTTCATAAGGCTGGGCTTCCACAGAGTACCAGCAGCCACTTGCCCCAGACCTGCTCCCAACGCATGTGACCACAACACCCACAGCCAGCTTCAAGAACCTCCCATGCAGAAGGCCCAAGCCCTAAGGGGGGATGAGCACAGAAACAGCTCAAGGCCACCTCACTTACCTGGCAATCTTCCTCAGAGCCACCAGCCTCATCCATGACCACCACTGCTGCCACCATCACCACCCCCGGGGCCTTGGCTCAGTGCGTCTGCACAGCACTCTCTGACCCTGCAGGCTGGGAAAAGCAGGAATGTATGTATGCGGGGAAGAACTGAGAGACCTGGGGCTCAAACCTCCACAGGACTGTGCAGCATTCTGAGCTTGCATGTGGAGTAGGAGAAGCAGGGCTTCCTGTCTTTCCTGGGTCTGGATTTTCATCTCATGCACTGCAAAGAAAAGTAAGACCAGAGGTCAGAGTCATTTCCATCCCCAAGTCCTGTGAGCTAGGCATGCCACAATAGGGAGTCAAGTGCTTCCCAGCTCAGCTTCAGGCATGTCTGCATTAACAGGGAGAATGGCTTCAGCCAGATCTGATGAATCTTAGGGTTAGAGCTCTGAAAAAGTATGGGATTCACCCCAGTTCCCATCCCACCACCCTCAGGATTAACATCGGATCAAAATAAATAATGAATAGACAAACAATATCCAGACAGACCACAAAACATAAATCTTTCCAACTGCACAAGATTTTTCTGCAAGGACACAGAATAGAAAGTTCTCCCATGGATGTTGACCTAACCTCTCCCAGCAATAAGTAAGATCCTCTGCTGCAGCTCTTACTATAAAGAACCACAAAGGCAACCAAAAATGTACCCAATATACAAGATCAGAGAGAGCAGTCAGCGGGGAACAAATCAACTAAAATGTAACATGAACAGTAACCACAAAGAGAAATTGTACCAACCCATCTGTAAAAACCTAAAGAGCATGACTGTTGATATAGCATGACAGTAAAAGGATGGTGTGTTACCTACCACTGACATTCAAAGACTTGGCTTGACCCATCACCCCTCACTTGACATTCCAGTACGAATTTTTCAATGAGAATTCTATGACTGCCTCCTGAAATATGTAGCCTGGGGACAGCATTGTGGCACAGGTTGAGCCACTGCTTGTGATACTGTCATCTCTCATTGGAGCAAGGGAACAAAGCCATTTACTCTGTTTCCCATCCTGCTCCCTGGCAATCAGAAGATGGTGCAAGGGCTGCGGACACTGCACTCAGGGGGAAGACCAGAATGAAGAGGCTGGCTCCTGGCTTTGACATGGCTCAGACCCAGGTTACTGGGCACAGCCAAGGGAGAGCAGGATGCATGGCCTCTGCCTTCCTCAATCATTCTATGTTTCAACAAATCTGAAAATAAAATGAAATCTAGCTCTACCATTCCAAGCCTTTTATTCCTCAAGGTTCCTATTTCTCACTAGAAAAATTTTAATTCCCCTGTCCCTTCCAAACATTCTGTACCCCCCAATTCTCCTTTCCTGCCACTTTTCCTAAGGTTTTCACCCCCTGGTCCCATGGCAAGGCTAACACTCATGGGTCTTCACAGCCCTTGACCTGTCATGACCTGTCCTCTCTCCCCTCAGCAGACACACACACATTATCTGCTCTCAGCTTCCAACACCCAAGCATCTCCTGTGCCCCTGGCTCTTCAAGGCACCTAATCCTCCCCAACAGTTCCCCCGAAACCCATCACCCTTAGCATAGCACTCCCAACCCCATTTTTTCTTTCTCAAACTCTAAACCCAGACTTCCTGTTTTTCCCTCAGCCAACAGCACAGCACATGCTTTTCCTCCCAGGACTGTCTCCCAAGTTTTGATGCACAATTTGCTCTGTGGCTCCTGACTCTAGCACAGTTTAAGGGACGCCCCCATGCCTGTAGAGCATCCTCTTATGTCCCCTACCCCTGCAGGAGGGTGATCCCTTCACTGCCCACCCAAGCCCCTGACTCATCCTCCAAGAAGGATAACTCAGCAGGTGGAAGGAGGCGCAGTTGGCCAGGTTGAGACAGAAGCCCAGGAATCTCCACGTCTTGAAGAGTAGCCTCAGGAAAGTTCAGGTAAAGGAACTTGTGCACAGCTCTGGGCCCAGACCAGGTGCATGGCCCCCAGAGGCGTCGACTGTCACAGCTGAACCCTCACCATGGACCCGACTTCTGAGCCTTTGCCCATTCCATCACGACTTCCTACTGCAGGTCTCCCAGATGAAGACAGCACAACTGCCTGTCTCCACTGACCCAACCCCCCAGGGCTGCCAATTCTGCACACTCAAGGCTACTTCCCTGCCGCCTCCGCTGACCCACACACTGCAGACCATGGAGATCCAGGATTGCTGACCCTGGAGATCCACGCTGGTGCCTCTCAGAACAGGAGACTGTCCATCCCACCAACACCTTGGCTCTGGACTTCATCCCTACAATAAAGACCTGTGATTTGCCTTGCAGCTCACCCACACATGTCTGCCAACAATGACCCACGCATTTCTCCTGCTGATGGAGGCACTCACACTTCATGCTGCCTCCCTGCCAAGCTCCACAAACACCCAGACAAACCCTGTCCCTGCCCTGCTGAGCTAGAATACACCCGCACCTCTCCCTGCACTTTGCTCCAAAGCTGCCTCCTAGGAACCCCCCATCCAAGGAGCAGACCTGGGCTTCCTGCAGCAGCCTCCTAGGTGAACTGAGTTCACCACCTCAGACACAGAACCAGCAGCCACCACCACCACCCCTGCTCAGGGGTCTCCACCAACCCCAACAGTCCCGCTTCACCTAAGCCTTGCCAGCTCCACTTTGGGGAGACCCCGCCTCACAACCCAGTTTCCCGCCCAGCTCTACGCAGCCCCCTCAGACCCCAGCTTCCCCCCGCTGCATACAGACCGCCCCCTCAGACCTCAGCTACTTCATGTAGACCCCCCTCAGAACCCAGCTTCCTGTTGCTCCACGCAGACCCCCCTTACACCCCAAATATTCCCCACTGCACACAGACCGCCCCCTCAGACCTCAGCCCCACTCCACGCAGACCCTTGCTGCCCTGCTGACCCAGTGCAGACCACACTTTCCGCACAACCCCCAGCAAGTCCTGGACATCCGTCCCCAAAGTGCCCACTGACCCACTGTTGGCTCCCACGCTTGCTCACCGCCGTCCAGCACCAACCAACGCAGACCCACGCCGCCCCGCCCCCTTCACGCAGACCCACGCCGCCCCTCCCCACCTTCACGCAGACCCACACGGCCCCGCCCCTACGAGGCCCCGCCCCACTTTCACACAGACCCACGCCGCCCCACCCCCACGCGGCCCCACCCCACCTTCACGCAGACCCACGCAGACCCACACCGCCCCGCCCTACCTGCACGCAGACCCATGCGGCCCCGCCCCCTTCATGCAGACCCACGCGGGCCTCACCCCCACGAGGCCCCGCCCCACTTTCACACAGACCCACGCCGCCCCGCCCCGCCTCCACGCAGACCCACGCCGCCCCGCCCCACCTGAACGTGGCCCCGCCCACTGTCACACACCAGCCCTGTCCAGCCAACCTCACCTCTGGCGGCTGCGCACTGGCCTCCAGTTGGCAGGGCAGTTGGCAGTCTGTGGAGTGGTGACAGCAGTCATCCAACATCTGCAAAGTCCCCAGCAGAAGCCGGGAGATGCCATGGGCGGCCACAGCTGCAGCTGGCTGGGGAGTTGAAACCCGACACCCCGCCCACGCTTGCCCTAGAGCTGCTGCCCTTTTGGGGTCTCTTGCAGGCAGGGCCCTGGGAGTGGGGTCTCCCCGGAAATATCTGGATGTGAAGGTATGTGCATATGTGTGTGGACATGTTCCCCGGCTACTCCTCCATAACCCTGTCCCCAGCCCCGGAGGAAGCAGGGTCCCTAGCAACTCCTCCATGCCCCTGTCGCCAACCCCTCAGGGGGCACAGCCATCAGCAACTGCTGTGTGCCCCAGTCCTGCAGGGAACACAGCCCCCAGCTCCTCCATGCCACAACCCTAGAGAAAGTAGGGTCCCCAGCAACTCCTCCGAGCCCCTGCCCCAGGCCCTGCAGGGGAGCACGGTCCCCAGCGATTCCTCCGTGCCTCTGTTCCCAGTCCTACAGGGAACACAGCCCCCAGTGACTACTTCATGCCCTGTCTCCGGCCCTGCAGGGAGGGTGACAGCATTAGGCCACTAACTTTGCAGAGCTCCCATAGCCCTCCTCCCACCTCATGCCTGTGCCCACCCAGTCCTGAGGGTTCCCCCCTGGGAATCTAGCTCCCCTTATCTGTTACTCCCCCAGACTCAAGGGCCTCCACTGACCTTCCCAGCCAGCAGCAAGCTGATCTCATGCTGGGACTCTCTGCTGGGTTGTCACTGGCATCCAAAAGCTCAGCCTCCAAAGCTGGGCTGACCTTTTCCTGTATTCTCCCAAGTAGCTGGAGAATAGTAGGAGCTGTGGTGTGGGGAGGGGTGCTGGCATGTGTATAAGGGTGTGTGTGCAAAAAGGGATGTGTGCTTCCTTAGACATTCCAACAACTGTGCACCAGCTGCCTCTGAAGGCCCCATCCCTCTCAGAGGGTGCCTAGGCAGCACAGAGGTACCTTTAGGGTCCCTGAAGCCCCTAGGCAACAAAACTGAGAGGAGAGGAGCTCGGACTCACCTAGTGCTCACAGGTGGACCCAGTGCCCTCTCTGGAGGACTGGTAATCCTGTAATAATCTCAACATGGGTGAGGTACCATTACCCTGACTGCACACACTTCCTAAAACTGTTCTGCACCTCAATGGTTGACATATGCCTTGTTAGAGTTATAAGCCAGTCAAGCCAGTCTAGACTACCCCCCAAAAAAAACCAGGTTCAGCAAAATATGTCAACTAATTCCAAGGACAGAGGAAGGGAACAGGGACAACAGAACTGAACCCTCAGGGGACACAGCTGTGTCACCACCTCTCCCAGGGGACCTGGCTGCACCTGTGTCACCCTCTCAAGCAGGTATTCACTTTCACAACCTGATCCTACCTTTCAGAGGAGGTCCCTCTGGACAAACCACCCAGGGACAGTGTCAAGAACAGGTCAGCCTGTTGGGCCAGTGTTACCAATCAGGAAGCCATCTGATGTTCTCTGGGGATCTGGCCTGTTCACCACATCTGTCTAGTGGACAGTGGTTCTGCAATGTTAGAACTAGGACTTCCTGAAATCACAGACA